AGATCATTCAAATGTGATTCTATATTTAAGATAGAATCAGAGATAGTAGGAACTGCAGATGCTGGAGAATCCGAGACAACAAGGTGCAGAGCTGGATGAACACAGCAGGCTAAGCAGCATCATAGGAGCAGAAAGGCTGACGTTTCGGGCCTAGACCCTTCATCAGAAATGGGGGAGAGGAAGGGGGTTCTGAAATAAATAGGGAGAGAGGGGGAGGCGGATAGAAGATGGTTGAGGAAAGGATAGGTGGAGAGGAAACAGACAGGTCGAAGAGGTGGGGATGGAGCCAGTAAAGGTGAGTGTAGGTGGGGAGTTAGGGAGGGGATAGGTCAGTCCAGGGAGGACGGACAGGTCAAGGGGGCGGGATGAGGTTAGTAGGTAGGAGATGGGGATGCGGCTTGAGGTGGGAGGAGGGGATAGGTGGGAGGAAGAACAGGTCAGGGAGGTGGGGACTAGCTGGGCTGGTTTTGGGATGCGGTAGGGGGAGGGGAGATTTTGAAGCTTGTGAAATCCACATTGATACCATTGGGCTGCAGGGTTCCCAAGCGGAATATGAGTTGCTGTTCCTGCAACCTTCGGGTGGCATCATTGTGGCACTGCAGGATGCCCAGGATGGACATGTCGTCTGAGGAATGGGAGGGGGAGTTGAAATGGTTCGCGACTGGGAGGTGCAGTTGTTTATTGCGAACCGAGCGTAGGTGTTCTGCAAAGCGGTCCCCGAGCCTCTGCTTGGTTTCCCCGATGTAGAGGAGGCCACAATGGGTACAGCGGATGCAGTATACCACATTGGCAGATGTGCAGGTGAACATCTGCTTGATTTGGAAAGTCTTCTTGGGGCCTGGGATGGGCGTGAGGGAGGAGGTATGGGGGCGAGGGAGGAGGTATGGGGGCAGGTGTAGCACTTCCTGCGGTTGCAGGGAAAAGTGCCGGGTGTAGTGGGGCTGGAGGGGAGTGTGGAGCGGACAAGCGAGTCGTGGAGAGAGTGGTCCCTCCGGAAAGCAGATAAGGGTGGGGAGGGAAAGATGTCTTTGGTGGTGGGGTCGGATTGCAGATGGCAGAAGAGTCGGAGGATGATGCGTTGGATCCGGAGGTTGGTGGGATGGTACGTGAGGACAAGGGGGATTCTTTTTTGGTTCTTATTGCGTGGACGGGGTGTGAGGGATGAGTTGCGGGAAATGTGGGAGACACGGTTGAGGGCGTTCTCGACCACTGAGGGGGGCGGGGGGTGGTTGGAGTTGCGGTCCTTGAAAAACGAGGACAACTGAGATGTACGGGAGTGGAATGCCTCATCCTGGGAGCAGATGCGGCGGAGGCGAAGGAATTGGGAATAGGGGATGGCATTTTTGCAGGAAGGTGGGTGAGAGGAGGTGTATTCTAGGTAGCTGTGGGAGTCGGTGGGCTTGAAATGGATATCGGTTTCTAGGTGGTTGCCCGAGATGGAGACAGAGAGGTCCAGGAAGGAGAGAGAGGTATTAGAGATGGTCCAGGTGAACTTAAGGTTGGGGTGGAAGGTGTTGGTGAAGTGGATGAACTGTTCGAGCTCCTCGTGGGAGCACGAGGCGGCATCGATACAGTCATCAATGTAACGGAGGAAGAGGTGGGGTTTAGGGCCAGTGTAGGTACGGAAGAGGGATTGTTCCACGTAACCTACAAAGAGGCAGGCATAGCTTGGGCCCATGCGGGTACCCATGGCCACCCCCTTTGTCTGTAGGAAGTGGGAGGAATTGAAAGAGAAGTTGTTGAGGGTGAGGACGAGTTCGGCTAAGCAGATGAGGGTGTCAGTGGAGGGGGACTGGTCGGGCCTGCGGGACAGGAAGAAGCGGAGTGCCTTTAGGTCATCTGTATGGGGAATGCAGGTGTACAGGGATTGGACGTCCATGGTAAAGATGAGGTGTTGGGGACCGGGGAATTGGAAGTTCTGGAGGAGGTGGAGGGTGTGGGTGGTGATATCTTGGTTTGTTTTCTTTTATTTCTGTTCTGATAAAGAAAATCTGCAGCTTTGTGCGAATATGCTCAGTGATCATCCGCCACCTTGTGTAGTAAGTTTTGATATGACAATTTACCAAAAGCCTTTTGGAAATTCAACATTTACAGGCTCTCTTTATCTACCTTGCTTGTTACGTCCACAAAAGACTTCCATAATTTAAGTAAACACAAAGCCATGTTGACTCTGCCTTTTCACACTATATTTTTGAGAAATGCTATGGCCTCCATAATAATGGATTCCAGCAATTTTCCTGGATGACACATTAGGCTATGTGGGCTTTAGCTTCTGGCTTTCTGTCTCTCTCCCCATGATCCAATGAAGAAGAACTTGGGATTATTTTGGAGAGTAGGAGCAAAAAAAATTAAGACAACACAATTCTAACAGAATCTAAAATTCTAACATAATCTAAAATTGAAGAATTTGCATTAAGTTTTGCTTTACCTCAAAAATAGATTCACCAGTCAGGCGACTGAGAGCTGCAAATTCCAGAATCATGGTTCCAGCACAGGCTGTACAAGTGTCCGACTCTGTGCCTGTTCGGGACAGAGGGCTCAAGATTCCATATTTCAGATTTACCTACAATAAAAAATAACTTTGAAACTTCTTAGTAACCTTTATAACTGCTATTCCACATATAGTTTAAAAGTACTGTACAAATGTATTTACTGTGATATCAGTGGAATACCATAATTCAGTCTGTCAAAGAATACAGACAATAAAAAGCAAGACACTGTGAAACAGTAACTTGCTATGTCTCACTTCTTGCTTTACGATCTGTGGCACACATTATGACAAAGTTCATTGTAGTTACACTTGAGAGTTTTTATTTCAACAATGTATTAAGATTCAAACTCTCACCCCCAAGATCATAATTGTCCTAATTCCTATGTACTTACTCTTGGATATGGTAGACCACTAGTAGTGTTAAAAGCTGGCAGGAGTCGATATCCTATGTCTCTAGCCATGTATAGAAGCTCATCTTTATACCAACGGACCTTGGACCCATGGTTCTTCAACATGGTTGCCATCACATGACCTCCTAACAACCCACTGCAGCAGAAATAAATATTCTTAATAGTAAGTACCATAGAAATTGAGTTGTAGTTTTATAATAAAGGAGTCCATGTACAATAATACTTCCAGTCATAGTGAGCAGTATTCAAGCTTTCTTTAAATGTTCCATAATACTAACTCTAATTTTTAAACTAGCAGTTCATCGTAATCTCTGGGACGTGTCCTATTTAATTATGTCTGAATTCAACAACTAGGATCTTCCATTACAACACACACAAACTTGTGATTTTTTTTCCGCTTATAAAAATGAATAATTGTTAGTTGATATGCAGTGCAAAACCCTAATTTACAGGTACTCGAGAGATGCAAATTTAAAAGAAAGACATGAATCACAGAAATACTGTGTATATAAATTTTGAGCAAAGCAGATCAATACAGAAAATGCCATGCGCCTATATTACGGAAGCTGGTTTGTTGAATAATTTCTCTATTTTAACTCTAAAAGAATGTTCGTGTTACTGGGAAAACCAGGATTTTATTAGTGGCTTACTAGACCATTTTAGAAGGCACTCAAAAGGACAGTGAACCAATTGTCATTTTCATGACAATACATGATGAATTCATTTTGAGTATTGCTTGGATTACTCAGACAGTTATCAATTCCAGAATGCTGAATTTTAATTCCACCAGCTGCCAAACGGAATTTGAACCCAGGCTTCGGATCACTAGTCCGGTGACATTGCCATTACACTACTGACTCTCTCACCATGTTTGCTCAACCAGAAATTATGAAGTCACATATTGTGAAATGACATTGTAACATTTTATACAATGTACCATGAAAGGGTATCACTGTGCCCTGTCAAATAGCCATTTGCTTCCAGTTTTAGAAAGTTACCCTGGCATTCTCGGAGGCCAGCTATTCAGTGAATCAGAACACTATTGTTGAAGGTTATATTTTTAATTCCTTTTAATCAGTAGACTGCAAGGTTTTTCTCCTGTCCCTTTTATAAAGGTGAAACACTGAAAATGAGATATAGTGTATTCACACACCGTAGATAACACTCGCTTTGATCTGGGTAAAAAGGTGGGTAATTATAGTTTAAAGTGATTTGTTCAAGAATTTTTTCCTCCCTCACAAAGCTGAGGTTTGGAAACCCACACAATATTTTTTCTGAGCACTCTGTTCAGTTGACATGTGGTCCTCCTAAACAAAGCTGAGAAATGGACTGAATGAAAGATGGCACTAGATCAAGTCATTTGTTTCAATGCTGTGACTGCCTAGTTCTGCAAATTCAGAAAAACACTGCCATCTACGCAGAGCCTTACTCACCCCAATATACGGATGTTTGTTTCAAACACCGAGACCACAACATCATTATCGAATTGGACATGTAGTATTACTTTTCGCACTGCATCTTCAAACTCATCGAGTTTGTTTAGTACCTTTGAAGCAGAATGCAATAGTATTTTATTCAATTTAAGAACTGAAATGGCAACTTGGACAAAGTAATATGGCAAATAAAACTCAATCAAGACTTATAGGAAAAAAGTAGAAAATACAAATTAGACGGGCAGTCATCTACAGTTACTATTGCTATCCAACTGGGGGAAAACTTGTAATTGCACAAATTGAGGCCTGAAAGTTGGTCAGCTACTCTTGACTGCAGTATAGTTGGACGGATTAAAAAAAAAGTGTTATCATTACCTAAAACTAAAACCGTTCTCTTCCTTAATACTGTTCTCTCCACACCGCACCCCCCCACCCCAATAAAGGAGTGGAACACCGAGCTTACGTTCATAGAGTTCAACGTGAGGTGCAGCATGTAAGGCACATAACAAATGCATCTGTTTATTTCTAGATTTATTTTGTAGAATTAAACTACTCCTAAATTTAATCTAAATACACTAATGAGAAATGTTAAGAAATGGAGTTGTTCCAATAACTCATGTTGTTTACCCCATAATGTCTTACTGAAATCAAAGAATGGTGAAGATCTTCAAATGAAACCAGATTTAAATTCATAGCTGATCATCTAGCAGCATGCGTTCTGTCAGGTTGAAGTTAGACAAAACTCAACACAAAAGTGTGCTTCATGTCTAAACTTTGTGTGTTCTGCATCAACAATAATTTATAGATTTGGCTATTAGTTTACACTGAACTCAAATAGGCCAGCAGCACACTCATTTCTACATTGGTCAGTCAAAAATGGAGGAAATCACTTTCCTAAATAACCCCTCCACTCTCTTGAAAAAATAACAAGTTACAATACTTACAACTAGCGTATCTAATGTATCAATAAGAGTGAGTGAAAACCTGGAAATGAAAACATAATTAAAATTATAAAGGTGACAAAAAGGTCAATATGCATAAAAGTTTTCAATTGTATTTTATTTTAAAGTTGTGATTTTTTTCCTCCTCTGCTGCATGTGAACATTCAGTTTTATTTTATACACACACATATATATAAAAATATACATATCAAACAAACATTTCAGATGTCATAAACTGTTATCATCCTGTACATTAACCCAAGGTCCTGTTTTAATAACACAACTATTTTAAGGCAGGAGTTCTCACTTGGGGCTAATCACCTTTGCAAACTTAGAATAGAGTACTAACTGGAATACAACCCAAAATATTAAATCTTTCAGTGCAGTTGATACGTATGTTCATGGTGATATTCAAAGGCTCTAGCAAAACTGTATTTAAGAAGCACTTAAAATATTACATAAACTGTGTTAAATAAGGGAAAGCCTTGCCAAATGATTCCATATCATTATAAAGTTTTAATGCAGACTGTACTTGTGAGTGTGAACTTTATATTCCTCAACTGTTTAAAAAAATCAACTTCAGCAATTTGCAGTTGCCAAATGTATGTTCAAAAGTCTGAAGTTGCATCTTTCTGAAGCCACTTGGAGAAAATCAAATTTTCAAAATTTGCATGAAAAAGATATATTTGGTTGCAGTAATTCATTAATAGAAGAGCTACTCTTCAAGAGAAACAGGGCACTTTTCTGTGTAGACTAAGGGTGAAATAAAACCCTCCATAAAATCAACCATTAATTAACCATCTAAGTACTTGAAGTCTCAACTTTAAAAATGTAACTCGTTGCCATGTGATTCAAACTGTACTCAATGCAAAGAAAATGTGAAAATTCTGACTACTAGGTGCAGTGGTTGGTATAACAAGCATTTGTTTCTGTGCTGTATGACTCTACGACGCTCTAAGATTGCTATTTTTCATTATGTGCTGAAATTAACTACAGAATGAAATCACTTAAAAAAGGGGCTTCAATGAGACAAAATCCCCGTGATGATCAAGGTTTTCATATTGGAAATTCAGTCTATGGTCTATAGATATTAATTTGGCTTGAAGTCCAATGTCCCTTTTAAAAATCAGCAAATTACATTTCCTTTGATATTAGCAAGATGTAAGTTCATTTATTTCAGTTTTCACAATCAGTACCTATTTGTTTGAAATTAAGCACTTTATTTACTATATTCAGCAGCACCTTATTGTCAAATGTTTTAAAAGACATTAGCCAAATTATCTATAAATTTGTGCTGTTGGAACAAATATAGTCCTTTGTAAACTAAATTTGGGCTTTGGATTATCAGAACTTATTTGAGAGACTGGCAGGAACATTCAAATCCAAAAAAAAAAGGTAGCCCATTACATTGTTGATATTTGTTTGAAAGCAAATGAAAATTGAATTATCTAAAATTAAGAAGGTTTAAGAATGAGGGTTCAAAGCCATGAATGAATATTAATTGCCACTTTTATTTAATTATCAATTTATGTTGCTTCAAAAATATAAATATTAGGATGTTGTTATTTTTACCTCAGTGCAGCCCATTGTAGAGAGAAGACGTAGCTTATCACGGGGAGACCCAATGTCAGTCTCCCACTGGCTGTAAAACCTTTCCAAATTATGTTGGAGGGCGGAAGGGGCTAACACTGGATTCTTGGCTGCTGGCTGTGAGGTTCATTAACAACTCAAATGACACTCAAGATTTCCAAACAACCTACAATTTAATGATGACTCAGGGATTAAATAGCATCAGCATGACTTTCCTGATCCTCTTACACCACCTGGTAAACTATGTCAGGTCTGCTAGAAGCGTCCTGGGAACCCGTTGAAAGGCTCTATGTACCTGATTGAGGAGTCGGGCATGGGAAGGAGGGCTGTGAAAAACTGATCTCCAGCCCTTACTGCCACCAACCCTACCAACCCTGCCCTTCCTCTTGCCACAGGCAATTTGAGATCCTATTCCACTTCCATTTACCTTTGGTTTGGGTTCCCACAAGAATCCTGGGCCTCTAGTATTTGTGCAGCTGCCAGCTGCCAATGCTGTCTATGGCGCTGATAAGTAATGGAAAGTTGCTGGCCTCTGACTGGCTTGCAGGACTGCTGCCAATAAGGGTCTCAAATCCCATGGGGGGACAGATGAGGCATTTAATGCCATTGGGTGGCCCCCCCCCGCCCCCGGAACTGTTGAGATTTTCCCCACAAGACTGACTAAATCCAGGGTGCCCAGATCGCAAATAAATGAATTGATGAGAATTTCCAATCATCTGCTTAGTCTTACTGTTAAACCTCTTGAAAAATTAATATATTGTTTAATGAGCTGTAACTGGGATTTTAATGACATACTAAATTCATACTTACAGCTAAGCTGCCAAATTGACCCCGAGAAGCTAATGCTTTATTTGTGGAATGTCATATTCCCCATTTGTTTTTTTAAACTTTCTCTCAGTTATTTTACCTTTGGTTTAACATCCAGCTTGATCCAGTGCTAAACAGAAATTGTGTCTTGAAAGTTGATGTGTGTAAATATTTTAGTGAGATTGATAGTTCTGTGCTTGCTGGCATCATGGATGCTCACACCAAGACTATCCCATGTCTTAGCGTCATCAGGAAAGGGGAAATCCATTCCACAGCATTCACTAAATTTTTGTGGCACCTTATTTCCATAGTGCCAATTATATCATCAATGACTAAGTACATAGCGAGATTAAGTGTCCTATGGGAGTCTGTGCAGCTTTATGCTTTCTCCTAGCAGCTTAAATTCTTTACTAGTGTAGTTGAATTAAGTCTAAACTTGCAATTATATAATGCCCTTTGCAAGTTAAGATGTACAGAAATGCTCAGGAGCCAATGAATTGCTTTTGCTCTTTTTGTGCCTAAACTGCAATGAAACAAATGATCAGATGATCCAATTTAGTGATGTTCGTTCAGGGATTGTTGTTTGCCAGGGCATTTGGAGAACTCCACTGCTCATGTTTGAATTCCTTTATAGGACTGATTTCATTTAATTGTTTTCTGGTCATGGACACCACACTATGGGAAGGAAGTGATTGCACTCGAGAGAGTGCACAGGAGATTCACCAAGACAAGAAATTTTGCTGTGAAGAGAGGTTAGATAGGCAGAGGTTATTTTCCTTAAAGCAGAAAAGGCTGATGGGGAATCTGATCGAAATATGGAAAGTTATGAGGGGCATACAGATAGGTGGATAGGGAGAAGACTTTCCACCATGCAGAGAGGTCAATAACCAGAGGGCAGTTTTAAGACAAGGAGCAGGAGATTTGAAGAGAAATATTATCACTCAAGACAGTTGTGGGTATATGGAACTCACTGCCTAAAAAGGATGTAGAAATGGGAACCCTCAAGACATTTAACAAGTAGGTACAGGAACACTTGAAACATGACAACACACAAAGGCTATACAGGCCAAATGAAGAATGGGATTGGAAAAGATAAATGCTTAAATATTGGCATGGACACAATGGGCCAAAAGGTCTTTCTTTGGCGTAAAGATCTATGCCTGAAAGAGCAAAGGGTGCCTCAATTTAAAATGCAATCGAACAGCACCTGCAACAGCACAGCGCTCCCTCAGTACCAAAGGTGCTGGACTAAATAATGTCTAGGTGTGTTGGTGTGGGGCTTCAACCTGTGGCATTTTGACTTGGGAGAACACTGAAGCATTTTGACTTGGGAGAACACTGAAGCAAGACTGATCTCATTAGAAAAGTTACTTTGAGCAGCATTGTTATTTGCAGGATATCCTAGTCAGGTTTTTGCAAAATATTGTTTATAGTTACTCCAAAATATTGGGAGTCAATACCATCAAAGCGTATAAATTATGAAATTTATTTCATATTGTTCCAAATGTCCAGAAAATAGATAGGAATTTTTCTACTTTCCACATTTATCAGATGTACTTGACGCACAATTTAACCTTTATTTAAAATTCACTGTTCTTAAACTGTTTACTACTTCATAGTCACAAATGACAGTATTTATGAATGTGCAATTCTCGAACATACTTTCCTAAGGCATCATCAACATCACCACGACTTGGTTCTAATCCACGAATTCTTCCACGACAGCTCAGGGGCATCAACTCATCAGCAGGGTACGCATGTTCCTAACAAGACAGACGAAGGCAAAAAACTGAAAGCCTAAACATTAGAACTTCACTCTTAACCAGTTTCAGAAATTACATGCTTGATAATACATTAATAAACGACAGCATCTGCATTTTTGAATGAAACAGTTAGCACGGGATGCCAGAATTAATCTCAGAACAACCACTACAGAGTCATGTATAGTGTGAAGCTCCACTGGCTTTGTCCCAATATATTACATTACTGTGAATATCCCTCTTCCCCAACCATTCATATAATCTCAGTCTTTGCAACTGGGAATACCAAGTTAATTCTGCCCAATTTAATGCTTATGGCTTCATGCTTGTTGAGATATTAGTTGATATTAGTCACTATCATTGGATATAAAACTTATCTCTGCTGCAGTTAAATGCAAGACCTAGAATTTAAAGCATAATGATACTAATCCCTGCTCCACACTACCTTGTTCCCAGCCCCTTTCTTGAAATCCCTATAATACATAGTAATATTTCCAAGGATTTCCACTGCTCATGAAAGAGTAAACTTGTCATCTGTATAATGATATGCTGAGGAAATAATACTAACAACAAACTGCATTACTTCATGAAAGAGCATCATAGTTAAATGTAATCAAGGGAATACAACCAGTCAAATACTTCTAATAACTTCAGTACACTTTCAACTAACCAAGCTGACACCATTTAGAAATAGCTTGTCCAATTAGAAAAGGGTTATTCACAATTTAAGTGTGCTACGCCAGACAAGTGCTGCAATTCCTAATATATTTGACGTGAATGTTAGAAATTGCTCCTTTGATAAAAATCAATTTCAACACGTTTCATGTAGTGTAAAACATAATGGACCTTTTCATCTTTCTGCAACTTCAATTTTAAGCAAACACATGTACATAAAAGTGGTATAGTATATTTACATGCAAGTTAAAATGCTACTTGTAACCAAAGTAAAAAATGTATTTTTTCTTTTGAGCATAATAAAAACAGAATTAAAGAATCATACATAGAAAGCATCAGTAGCAGTATTTAGCTAAAAGATGCGATGCACAGATACATATTGGCTCAGACTTTGTGACAGATATAACGGAGACTAACACTGCTCATCTTCATTTAAAAGAGTAAGTCTGAAACTTAACCGTTAGAAGTGTGGGCACACATTCCCCTAGAATTTTTATTATTATTGGACAGTTCAAAATAAAAATGCTTTCTTTGTACTTTATTTTTAAATCTTGCTCTCCATTTCACATTATCTGCATGTTTTGGCACTGGATTAGCTATTCTGGCTCGCATTCCCTGGTTCAGAATCTGCATACCGATTGATTAAGCAGATACACAGTTTCTCGACTTATTCAAAGAGGTCCCAGATTCCATCTTTGCTTTTTAAAATCATAGTAATTAGTCAATACAATAGCTCATAGAAAGTCCATGGTGGGCAACTGCAAATGCAACAAAGAGGTGATACAGCATGTTTGTTGCTAACTGCAAAACTTAGCCATAAGATCAGAACTTGAAATGTTGGTGGTGTCGGCTTATTTAAAAAGAAAGGGTAGCCAGCAGCATTCAGCAATTCCTCTGGTTAATTCAAAAATAAATAGAACTGGCTTTATTGTCACGTCTTCACATTAGTACAACGAAAAGTTTACAAATCACCACTTATGGTGCCATCTTAGGTACCAAGGTATCTAGTTACAGATTCTTAAGTACAAATGCCTAGGGAAAATAAAGTTAGAAAAATAAAGAAATAAAAATTCCAGCCATAAAACAGAAAGATAGAGAAATAAGAGTTTAGAATAACAGTCCTTTCAACTCGAATAAGCACAACATGTTAAACATATGAAGACAAGGAATTATCTTCAGAATATTGTTTTCTGGCATAGGTAGCAGGTGCCAGAAGTCAGAAAAGAAAGCCTTTTGTTTCTGGTGATAATGCGTGGTAGACGTGATCAAAAGTAGTCAGGAAATGCCTTTTGTTGGGATCCTCATTGGTGCACACAAGAAATTTGCTACTTTTTTAAAAAAATATTCACTCAGGGGATGCAGGTGTCTCTGGCCAGGCCCAGCATTTATTGTTCAACCCTAATTGCCCAGAGGGCAGTTAAGAGTCACATTGCTGTGGGTCGGGAGTCACACGTAGGCCAAGCCATACCAGGCAAGGATGACAGATTTCCTTCCCTAAAGGACACTGGTGAACCAGATAGGTTTTTTCCAACAATCAACAACGGTTTCAGGTCATCATTAGACCCTTAATTCCAGATTCTTTATTAAAATTCAAATTCCACCATGTGCACTGGTTGGATTTGAACACAATTCCCAGAACATTAGGTGAATTTCTTAATTAGTGGTCTAGCAATAATACCACTAGGCTATTACCACCCCTATATATTCAAATAGTTTGGATTTACATTTGTCGCAGTTGGCTTAAATAACAAAAACACTGCACAAGAGACAAAGGCAACTGAACAAAAAAAAAACAAACACTTACCATATAGTTGTTGTATGCATGCTCGAACATTTCAACAACTTCGTTCCTGCAAAGAAAAAACAAGAGACAGGTAAAGTCAAGGGCTAATCTTAAACTATTCCTCCAGCAGACATAACTAATCATCCACACTGTTCAACCAAACAAAAATAATATCTAACCAAGACTGAATTCTGGGACAGCAGGAATGATATATGAAGAGAGACTGTATTGGTTAAGACTGTAATCACTGGAGTTTAGAAGAATTTGTGGAGGGGGGTGTTTGGGGACAAAAATCTCAAATATTAAAATTTCTAACAGTATTAGATAGGTTAACAGGCAGGAAGATGGGGAGTCCAAAACCAGGAGTCATAGTCTAAGTAGTAGGCTATGTGCCACACAGGACTGAGAGGAAGAGAAATTTCAACACTCGGAGACAGTGGTGAGCCTGTGGATTCCTCTGCCACAGAAAACAGTTGAGGTCAAAGTATTGAAGGTTTTCAGGAAGAAGGTAGATATAATTCTTTGGGCTAAAGGGATCAAAGGGCAAAAATGGGAACAAGGTAGAGTTGGATGATCAGCCATGATCACAGTAAATACAGTAAATGGCAGAGTATGCTCAAAAGGGCCAAGTGGCCTACTCCTGCTCCTAAGTTTTTATGTAACTGGATAGGTGTTACAAAGTTGTGTAGCGAAATCACGAATTGGAAGGTAGGAAGCTAGAATTTGTTTGTACAAAAAATAAGGGAGAACAGTGTGTGGTCCCTTTAAGAGATCAAGTGCTTTTCTAAGCTGGGAGATTTGCAAAGTGAAAAAAAGTGTCTGTATGCAGCAGAAGATGTACAGCCAGTTCAAAAATGGAAACATGTATCAATTGGCTGTGTGATTGGAAACCTTCGGCGTGTTTTGATGTTTTGGCAATGAGATGGAATCAGCCAATTAATTTAAACCAAGCACTTAGCGACTGAAAGCCAATTGAATTTAAACCTGTTGGTCTTGACAACCTCAGATCAATGCTACTGTAAGAAAATTGATGTCATCCAAGGTATATATGGAGAGGGTTTTGAAAAATCAGTGCCAGAGCAAACTGCCATCTGAGAAATAAGCACCTAGCTCTCACAAGAAATTACTTAAGCCCTCTAAGAAAGCACCTTATCCATCAAAAGTACCACGGCACTTCTAGCTATAATGCTTCACAAAGAAAACATCCTTGAAAGCGGTATCAGTGGAAGGAAGGTGTTTATGACTGGATAGACAGTGGAGAAGGCAGAGCATTCTGGAAGACACATCCTGTGTGGACTTTGAGAGACTAAGTTTCAATTTATTTCATTTTCTTACCACTTGGATTATAAAAGTCGGACTTGCGTTTATTGGAATAGCATACCAGTAGAATTTTGTTCAGTTGGGGAATAGTTAGGAATTAGGGGGAATTGTTTGGATTGTTAGTAATTCTGTTAATTTTTTCACTGTTAGGGTTAAATGAATAAATTGTTCCTTGTTACTTATAAAGTGAATATCAGGGATTTTCTTTCATTTAACCTCCCCTTCTCTGTAACACTAGCCAAGTTAAAACATCAGGCCACATTTGATCTATGAAAGCCCTTTTGCAGTGATGGAATGCATATGAATATTCAGTGACCAAGCATGTTTCACGTGATTTGTAATATTTTACTATTTTTGTATTAAAAAGCAAGGGATTATCCAGAGCACAATATCGAATGAACAAACTTAGGTTAGAAATGAAAACCATGCCTTCTTACAACACTTATGGAATATGTGGTGTTACTTACCAGCACAGCAGAACTTTGCAAGCTAATTCAGTTTGCCAGAGGGGAAAAAAAGCACAACATTTGAACTTAAAGCCTTTCTGCTGGTAAAAGGCTACTGGAATTAAGTTTTCAATCAACAGAATTGATTCATCTTTATCAAGTAAAAGCCCTTGAGACAAGTCATTGTAATTGTTATCATTTAATACAAAATTAAATCTAGTTTACCATATTGACATTTAAGCATCTACACAACTAGTTCCATTCAGGTCGTGCCCAAAATTTAACTGCAGATGTATCTGCTGCAAACTAGATGGCCAAAGATAAGACTGTAAAGATGAAGATACTGAGCATTTTGATCTAAATTAGTTAACTTGAATTAAATGTTCAGAATGGCAGCAACTTTGGAATGTGTGACCACCTTAATTTGTGACAGTCATCATTGTCATTAAACAAACCGGACTAGGTAGTGAAGTAGTAAAATTTACCTTGTACATATATTAATACATGGATTACTATGATCACAGTTTGAAACACCTCACATTCTCCTATGTTCTCCATATGATGAACAAATAACACACAAAGGCTAAATAGATCACAGGTTTGTTGGGCAAGTTAAAATGATGTGAAAAAGGCATAACAGATTTCATTAGACTAACAAGTGATTCATACAATATTCCAGTATCTCAATCAAAACAATAAAAGACAAAGACACTTCATTCTTTGCAGTATATTTATAGGACTGTGGAAACATTTGATTGCTACACAGTACTAAGTTGTCAAACTATTCACTTCATATGAACTTTGTACACGGTTGTAATGATGGTGAAATCGTCACTGCTCGCCACTATTACTCCACTGAACCTTACAGCAGCTCCAACAGTGAGTAAATATGCAGAATAAAATGGGAATCCAGAAGTTCAAGTGATTTTATGTTCCTCCAAATGTTCCCTCTAAGGTGTGCACATACATGGTCACTCAGCAATCTGGTACATATCACACATTGAAATAAAGAGAGAGAGGAGGGGTGTGATAAGAGAGAGGGGGAGGATCAAAACTGAACTTGGTGAACACGGGGCTCTGTTACTGGAGAACAGCGAGCATGATGAGACAGTTAGGTGGGAAAGGCTAGGTGTCTCCAAATGTGAGAAGCACATGAAAGGAGGGCAGAAGACCAGGAGTTTGTCAAAGCCTCAAAGGACGTGGAGAGGCCAAAGTTCAAAAGATGGAGCACTGTACCATGAATTGGTTAATGGTAAGGTCCTGGGGAGTATTACCAAAGGAACCTTGGAGTGCAGGTTCATAGCTCCTTGAAAATGGAGTCACAGGTAGCCAGGGTAGTGAAAGCGGCATTTGGTACACTTGCCTTTATTGGTCAGTGCGCTGAGTATAGGAGCTGTGAGGTCATGTACAGGACATTGGTTAGGCCACTTTTGGAATACTGTAGTCAGTTCTGGTCCCCTTGCTATAGGAAGGATGTTGTTAAACTTGAAATGGTTCAGAAAAGATTTACAAGAATGTTGCCGGGGTTGGGTGATTGGAGCTATAGGGAGACACTGAATAGACTGGAGTTATTTCTTCAGGAGTGTCAGAGGCTGAGGGGGTGACCTTATAGAGGTTTATAAAATCATAAGGGGCATGAATAGGGTGAAAAGCCAAGGTCTTTCCCCCAGGGTAGGGGAGTCCAAAACCTGAGGGCATAGGTTTAAGGTGAGAAGGGAAAGATTTAAAAGGGGTCTAAGGGGCAACTTTTTCATGCAGAGGGTGGTGTGTGTATGGAATGGACTACTGGAGGGGATGATGAAGGCTGGTAGAATTATAACATTTAAAAGGCATCCGGATGGGTATATGAATACGAAGGGTTTAAGAGGGATATGGGCCAAATGCTGGAAAATGGAGCTAGATTAATTTAGGATATTTGGTTGGCATGGACGAGTTGGACCGAAGGGTCTCTTTCCATGCTGTATACCTCTATGACTCTATAACTTTCGGATGGGCTGAGACTTGGGAAACTTGCCCAGTGGCTAGTGGGGCTCAGAGAGGGGTTTGAGCTGGATGAAAGTGCTGGGACTTTGAGTGTGCCTGGCTGCTAGACCTGCAATAAAGGGAGACTCAGGAGTACCCTACAGTCAGCTATTCTTGATGGCCTAGAGCTCAAACTGGACCTAAATAACCCCTGCCCACAGTGGGTTACACATGTGGCCACAAACATACTGATACAAACCATCACAGCCAGAAAAAAACCTCAGCCTGGGAGAAACTTGTCATATGGCGTTAGTTCCAATAGCCAGATTTATAAGCAAATTGGGTTATTGATCATATATAAAAGGTAATGGTCAATGAACTCCTCTCTTTAGCATAGGCAAATCTGTGCAAAGCAGCCTTGAAACCACAGATTAATTGAAGATGACTAGCATAACTGATAATGGATGAATGTTTAATGTGAGGAGATGGATGGATCTCAGGTTGTTTATGATCCATAACCAGGCTTTCAAGCTACAGGCCCAAATCCCCCCTAACAACGTTCACACTTCATCTAATTGACTGAAAGTGTGCATTTGTGTAGGAAAAAGGAGCTAATAATCCCATGTGTAGGATGTCTGGGGAGAGGAGGGAAATACGGTGCTACTTAGGAGAAAAGATAGATGGATTGGGACATGCAAAAGCAGATGTAAAATGGGATCAGAAGAAAAGTAGAATGGATATGTGAGGAAAAGTGGAATGGAATGTGCAAGATCAGAAATATAAAATTGACCATTTGAGGGGAGGTGGATTGAGATCAGGAAGTGGGAAAGGACCTCCACCAAGGAGTGGGCAAATAGAAAGCGTGGAAGAAAACCATTTTTTTCACTAAGTTGTGCATGCAGAATGGTGGAATGTATTACACATTGAAATAAACAGCTTATGCACAACTTTATGAAAGGTTTACAACATTCCAAACTTTGTGAATTTTAAAACAACCCAAAGTAAGGAAATAATACTTTGAGGATTACAAGATTTAAAATAACAACATTTCTAAAACTATTAAACATGTTTTAAGTTTATCCTGCTTGCTGAACACTTGGAGATTCCCTTGATTTACAGCATATTTAAACTGCTGCTGGGAAAGAAAGGAAGCCTGCTGTAGCTCAACAAGAAGTAGCATTGAATCTAACTTTTTTTTTTATATCCCCCATTCCTGACTGTTTGAAGTGAGACCACAATGGTAGCTGCATTTCTATCAACATATCCCTCATTGGTTCTCTTTTCATCCAGTTCCCACCAATTTAAAATTTTAATCCTGTTTAGATCCCTCAGCAACCTTGTCACTCCCCACATGTAACATCCTCTGGCCCTATATTTCCTATCAACACCTCCTCTGACTTGCTCTTTTACTCCATATAATTGGTAGTTCCTTTAGCCACCCAGTCTGTGGAATTGCCTTGCAATTTCTTTTCGATCCCTCACCTCCTGAAAACCCCTCTCTGTGACAAAGCCTTTGGTACTCCTCCAAATACCTCTTTGTCTAGTACAAAATCCAGATTCTCCTGCATAGATAGATTTATTAAAGTATTTTTTTATGGCTGTGTTCATTGCCACCACATTGCAAGGGGCACGCTGAAAGCCCATACAATCCCAGTTCCTTTGACATTACAAAAGTCCTGTGTTGTTGCTGTAGCAACAGCTTCACAGAACAGCCTGCTGCCCCCACAACAAAATTAGAGAACGGATGCCCCACAGAGTGCTCAGAAAGAGCCATTGGTGGCTCATTTGCAGCCTCACTTGTGGCCCATTTCCTGAGGGATGCATCAAGGTGGGCAGTCAGTGTGGTGGCCAGTAGCAAGGGGTTCAGCAACAGAGCAACCAATGTTAAAAGCGAGGGAGAGACAGCAACATGGGGTGCATAGAACATAGAACATAGAACATAACAGCGCAGTACAGGCCCTTTGGCCCTCGATGTTGCGCCGACCTGTGAAACCAATCTGAAGCCCATCTAACCTAAACTATTCCATTATCATCCATATGTTTATCCAATGACCATTTAAATGCCCTTAAAGTGGGCGAGTCTACTATTTTTGCAGGCAGGGCATTCCACACCCTTACTACTCTCTGAGTAAAGAACCTACCTCTGACATCTGTCCTATGTCTATCACCCCTCAATTTAAAGCTATGTCCCCTCGTGCTAGCCATCACCATCCGAGGAAAAAGGCTCCCACTGTCCACCCTATCTAATCCTCTGATCATCTTGTATGTCTCTATTAAGTCACTTCTTAACCTTCTTCTCTCTAACGAAAACAGCCTCAAGACCCTCAGCCTTTCCTCATAAGACCTTCCCTCCATACCAGGCAACATCCTGGTAAATCTCCTCTGCACCCTTTCCAATGCTTCCACATCCTTCCTATAATGCGGTGACCAGAACTGTACGCAATACTCCAAGTGCGGCTGCACCAGAGTTTTGTTGCAGCTGCAACATGACCTCATGGCTCCGAAACTCAATCCCTCTACCAATAAAACCTAACATACTGTACACCTTCTTAACAACGCTATCAACCTGGGTGGCAACTTTCAGTGATCTATGCACATGGACACCGAGATCTTTCTGCTCATCCACACTACCAAGAATCTTACCATTAGCCCAGTACTCTGTATTCCTGTTACTCCTTCCAAAGTGAATCACCTCACACTTTTCCGCATTAAACTCCATTTGCCACCTCTCAGCCCAGCTCTGCAGCTTATCTATGTCCCTCTGTAACCTGCAACATCCTTCCGCACTATCCACAACTCCACCGACTTTGGTGTCATCCGCAAATTTACTAACCCATCCTTCTACGCCCTCATCCAGGTCATTTATAAAAATGACAAACAGCAGTGGCCCCAAAACAGATCCTTGAGGTACACCACTAGTAACTGAACTCCAGGATGAACATTTCCCATCAACCACCACCCTCTGTCTTCTTACAGCTAGCCAATTTCTGTTCCAAACCGCTAAATCACCCTCAATCCCATGCCTCCGTATTTTCTGCATTAGTTGCAGTTCTGATTCAGTGCAGTGTGGGCGTACAATGACGATATTCAACACCACCGACTTCCTGCTCAAGTAGTTTGACTGGCAATACACCAAATTTTCAATTACAGGAGAAACAAACATGAAGATGTCTGGGATCTTATGCATGTACAAATCACATATTCATTTGCTGTCGCAAACAGATAGGTGAGCAAAAAGGAAAGTCTAACAAAATACTAAAATCACAAAAAAAGTAATAAATCAGTACAAAGTTCAGCAGAGAGAAATGCACACTTTATGACAGCAAGCAATTTAGATGGTGGAACAACAAAACTTTATTACACTGGACTGCAAAAAAACCTTCACCATATTTAGCTTCAAGTTATTTTTAGTGCCACTAACAGTTATCATTTGGTTCAAAACGAAACGCCCGATTATCAAAGAATGACAGCTGGGATATCAGAGTGGTCCAAAGTGCTGTGTGCAGAGGCCCAGCTGACACTAGCAGTTAAAATCTTACCTGATTGCGCCTTTTTCCTGCTCTGTCATCCCCAGCACCCGATGGAAGCAGAACCAGCTGAAGGTGAAGCAAGCCAGCAGCCTGAGTGTGAAGCCCATGTTGCTGAAGTTCAGGGGCAGGCTTCCAGTCTCTGTCCCACTGACCATCAGCTACCCTGCAGGCTCCTCTACTTCACAACATGGACGTTTAATTTTGAAACGCCCTCGGACAAATCTGAACGCAACTGGGTCTCTAATCCACCCTCATGGTCCAGGAGACGGTGCTTAAAGGGTTTTGACCAGTCCTTCCTTAGAGCCTGCTCCAACCTCTCCCTCCACTGCACAGCCACATCCTGTCCATTTAAACACGGCCTCCTTCCTCAACACGGGCGTCTAAACACCCCGCATTCTGGGCTTTGTAGTCCCTCTCGGCGGCTGACTCCGGATTCATTTTCAGGCAACGCGATTTCCCGGTAACTTTTACATCCCAGTGACCGCCCTCCGAGACGGAAATCGCCGAGGCGAGCTGACGCAGTCGCTGTCGGGAAGACTGGACTCCAACTACCGGCAGGCACCGCGCAGCCTCGTCATGAGCTGCCGCGGAAGTGAGCGCACAAAGCATGATGGGATTGTAGTCTTTCCCTGCAAGTCCTCAGGCCCGGCCACTGCTGACAGTTGCATTTTCCAATCGCCCGCCTTTTCATTGAATCCTCTGGCTTTGTTTGTTTTCTTGCTGTGATTCACACATCTAAAATGTTTCCTGTGGGGACAAGTCACATGTTTTATCTCGTTAGGATGAACAATCTTCCAGACCGTACCTTATCAATGGATATTTGATGCTTGAGTTTTTTTTTAATAAACTAGAATCAGATCAGTAGTAATTTAGTTAAAAGGGTTAAGTACATGAGTGCTGTTAGGACCTCAGTGATGACATATTTATACATTTCTTTGTCTCCATTTCTTGGAATAGGCCATCAACCAATATCTCAGACTTGCCCAAATACTTTGCTTACATGTGTCTCTACCTGTTTCTATGGACTTCCTCCTATTTTTCCAAATTAACTGCTTCCTCACATCTGTTTTGATGATGGCAGCTTTCATACCAGAATTTCACTCACACACATACACACACACACACAAATACAGACAGGGAAAAATCATTAATACTTGGAAATGAACATACTGGCCATACTGGTCTTTCATTCTGAACTCAGTAAAACAAGTCAGACCAGTATGTCTCAGAGATAGTAGGAACTGCAGATGCTGGAGAATCCGAGACAACAAGGTGCAGGGCTGGATGAACACAGCAGGCCAAGCAGCATCATAGGAGCAGAGAGGCTGACGTTTCGGGCCTAGACCCTTCATCAGAAAAGGGGGAGGGGAAGGGGGTTTTGAAATAAATAGGGAGAGAGTGGGAGGCGGATAGAAGAGGGATAGAGGAGAGGATAGGTGGAGAGGAAACAAACAGGTCGAAGAGGCGGGGATGGGGCCAGGAAAGGTGAGTGTAGGTAGGGAGTTAGGAAGGGGATAGGTCAGTCCAGGGAGGACGGACAGGTCAAGGGGGCGGGATGAGGTTGGTCGGTAGGAGATGGAGGTGCGGCTTGAGGTGGGAGGAGGGGATAGGTGGGAGGAAGAACAGGTTAGGGAGGCAGGGACGAGTTGGACTGGTTTTGGGATGCGGTGGGGGGAGGGGAGATTTTGAAACTTGTGAAATCCACATTGATACCATTGGGCTGCAGGGTTCCCAAGCGGAATATGAGTTGCTGTTCCTGCAACCTTCGGGTGGCATCGTTGTGGCACTGCAGGAGGCCCAGGATGGACATGTCGTCTGAGGAATGGGAGGGGGAGTTGAAATGGTTCGCGACTGGGAGGTGCAGTTGTTTGTTGCGAACCGAGCGTAGGTGTTCTGCAAAGCGGTCCCCGAGTCTCCGCTTGGTTTCCCCGATGTAGAGGAAGCCACACCGGGTACAGCGGATGCAGTATACCACATTGGCAGATGTGCACGTGAACATCTGCTTGATGTGGAAAGTCTTCTTGGGGCCTGGGATGGGGGTGAGGGAGGAGGTATGGGGGCAGGTGTAGCACTTCCTGCGGTTGCAGGGAAAAGTGCCGGGTTTGGTGGAGCTGGAGGGGAGTGTGGAGCAGACAAGGGATTCACGGAGAGAGTGGTCCCTCCGGAAAGCAGACAAGGGTGGGGAGGGAAAGATGTCTTTCGTGGTGGGGTCGGATTGCAGATGGCGGAAGTGTCGGAGGATGATGCGTTGGATCCGGAGGTTGGTGAGGTGGTACATGAGGACGAGGGGATTCTTTTTTGGTTCTTATTGCGTGGACGGGGTGTGAGGGATGAGGTGCGGGAGATGTGGGAGACACGGTTGAGGGCGTTCTCGACCACCGAGGGGGGGAAGTTACGGTCCTTGAAAAACGAGGACAACTGAGATGTACGGGAGTGGAATGCCTCATCTTGGGAGCAGATGCGGCGGAGGCGAAGGAATTGGGAATAGGGGATAGCATTTTTGCAGGAAGGTGGGTGGGAGGAGAAGTATTCTAGGCAGCTGTGGGAGTCGGTGGGCTTGAAATGAGTATCGGTTTCTAGGTGGTTGCCCGATATGGAGACAGAGAGGTCCAGGAAGGGGAGAGAGGTGTTAGAGATGGTCCAGGTAAACTTAAGGTTGGGGTGGAAGGTGTTAGTGAAGTGTATGAACTGTTCGAGCTCCTCGTGGGAGCACGAGGCGGCGCCGATACAGTCATCAATGTAACGGAGGAAGAGGTGGGGTTTAGGGCCGGTGTCGGTACGGAAGAGGGATTGTTCCACGTTACCTCCAAAGAGGCAGGCGTAGCTTGGGCCCATGCGGGTACCCATGGCTACCCCCTTTTCTGTAGGAAGTGGGAGGAATTGAAAGAGAAGTTGTTGAGTGTGAGGACGAGTTCGGCTAAGCGGATGAGGGTATCAGTGGAGGGGGACTGGTCGGGCCTGCGGGACAGGAAGAAGCGGAGGGCCTTAAGGCCATCTGCATGGGGAATGCAGGTGTAGAGGGACTGGACGTCCATGGTAAAGAGGAGGTGTTGGGGACTGGGGAATTGGAAGTTCTGGAGGAGGTGGAGGGCGTGGGTGGTGTCACAGACATAGGTAGGGAGTTCAATCTAGCAGTACAAGTTTGTTTGCTTCTTTTCTGCTGAACTTTTGAAAACTAGTGATTCAGCTTCATGCAGTGAGAGCACTGCTTTTCTCACACTGCTACAAATCTTGTCAAAACCCATAATGTTCAGGCCCCTAATATTCTGTCCCAAGTTTCAAGTGGTGTGTGTACTAATGGCTGCCAAAGACTGCACAGACAAACACAGAAGTGAAAGTCGCAGGACCACATCAAGCCAGCTAGTACACTAAAGGGACAATTGCATTTCTCCAGACAACAACAGTCAAATCACTTTTCTTCAAATGGCCGTGGAATTGGGATTGGGGAAGTCATAAACAGTGTTGAATCAAACGTAAATAAAGAAATGATTTAGCAAAAACCAATTTTCTCTCTGACTGTTTAAAGCCATCAATGGTTATTGTTCCTTTCCATAGAAATACCAGAAAGCTACACTGGTTCAGTTATGCCTGACTAGATACTGACCACAATTAATGCTCATTCACTGGTTTTGCAGCTTATGTTTCTGGAGAATGCCAGAAACAACAAATTTCCATGTTTCTTACAGCAGAAGCACCTGGGGAGGTTTTCCACATATCTTCCATCCTATTCCTTACAATCAGTTCAGGAAAGTTCAATTTTCTCTTAAGCTTGATTACAAGGTTTTTAACCGCACCCATAGTTCTCTCTCTCTCTCTCTGGTTTGTGACAACTTCCAGATCCCAGTTTCACTGAATTTATTGGTCTCATTTAACTTAGTCGTCAGCCAGAATTGCTGTCTACCCGTACTATTACAGTTTATTCCTCAATCCAAGTTGAAATTGGAAAAAGTAGAATTTTCAAATTTCTGGGAGGAGAACTACGTTACAAAAGGTTTCAGTGGATGGTCCCAAACCTCAGTGCCCAATTTCACTGCTCCAAAGTGAGCTGCTTAAGCCTACTTCCTGGAATGGCTGGGGAAGCCATTTTTTGAAGGTAGAGAATTCTTTCCTGTACACATCTGGCATTAACTGATACACACATTTAAAATAGCCCATTTTGTTGTCTGATACTTTCCTCGGTGATAGTCTTCCGAGGAAGGGTCACCAGACCCAAAACGTTAACTCTGTTTTTTTCCTTCACAGATGCTGCCAGACCTGCTGAGCTTTCCCAGTAACTTTGTTTTTGTTCTTGATTTACAGCATCTGCAGTTCTTTTGGTTTTTATTTGCTCTGTAATAGATGTGTCCAACACTAGACTGACTGCTTCAATTGCTGTGTTAATCTTTCAAAACAAATAACATTGGCATCCATTTCTTCCTCATCAAATCTAGGAAACAAACATGCAAACTTGAATACTACTATTTCTGAGGACTGTGGAAATCTGCAGCACAGAAGAATATGGGGATTTCAAGTGCACATTCAACAAAAAGCTAGCATCTGAATTCAGCAGGTAATAGGAGAAGGCAAAAGGAAAGTTGGTTTTTATTTGAAAGAAATGGAGTATTAAAACAAAAAGGGAGGTCTTGCTAAAACTGTACATGACACTGATCAAACCACAGCCAGAATATTATGGATAGTTCTGCTTCTTTTATCTAAGCCATGATATAGTGCCATTAGAGGCAGTCCAGAGAAGGTTCACTGGCTGTACTGAAGGATTTTCTTATGAGAAGTTGAGTAGACTGGGCTTGTACTCATTAGAATTTAGGAGAATGAGAGCAGATCTTATTTAAAATCAAGATTCTTAGCAGCTTGACAGGGCAGATGCAGAAAGTGTGTTTCCTGTGATGGGAAAGTCGAGGACCAGAGGGCATAATCTCAGTTGAAGTTGAACATTTAGGACAGATGAGGAATTTTTGCAGAGGTAGTGATTCAGTGGAATTCTTTAGCAAATAGGCTGTCAAGACTGCATCATTAAATTATTTAAAGGCTGAGATTAATATATTTTTAATTAGTAAAGGAACAAGGGGTTGTGGGGATACAACAGGAAAGTGGAGTTGAGAATTATCAGGTCAGTCATGATCTCATTGAGTAGTGCAGCAGACCCTATGAGCCAATGGCCTGCTTCTACATCTATGTCTAATGGTCTAAGTGTGGGTAAAACAAGAAATGCAAATTTCTTGGTGTCTCACTGAGTATCAATGTTTCTCATTTAAAGAAGCAATTTGGAGGCAGGTGGTTTAGAATATTGTATGTGGGCTGCTTGAGCTTGTCATTTTAGATCAGCAGAGCTCTTTAAAACCATATTAGTTCCAGGAAGGTCTCAGGTATTAAAGTCATATGATCAAAGCTGAATATTGATTGTCTGTTTTTCATTACAATCATAGCAGTATTATTTACAATCCTCTAGAAAACAATATTATTGTACTAGCATTTTAACCACAATTTGAGCTGTTGCCTTTATTTTTAAAACTGCCATTTTTGATATTTCTGATTTACACTTAAAAATAAAAGTCTTATTTTCTTAGAAGGCCTCAAAGTGTAATTGATCTTGTGTGATTCCTGTGCCTGGTCTTGTATCCCTGCACTTCTGTGTATTCCTCTTTCTCAGATATTATTTTTAAAGTTATATGATGAATAACTTTTGGTTAGAAAAAGTCATGAAATTGTGAAACATGATTGTCAGTTCACGTTACCTTTTTTTAATCTGGATAGCTGAGCCCAAACCACATGAATATACAAAGCTCTACCCAAATAAAAAGCAGAGAATTCAAAATTAATCTCGAGCGTCAATCCTTGGGATGTGAACCAAGTGGTGATACACAGCACAACCACACATGGTCATATATATAAACAACTTTCCTTTGCTATGTTGAATGAAACAAAGCTGAAAGGAAGTCTCAAGGGAGATACAAATGTTGACAAGAAAAATATATTCCCAATGAGGAACTGAAATCAGTCTAGGCATGATGATAGGGTTTAGAACATTGAATTTTAACAGTTCTGCTGAGTTTTAACAGAACAGCAGTTCTGAAGGAGGATCACTGGACTTGAAATGTTAACTGTTTTCACTCTAGAGATGTTGCCAGATCTGTTGAGTTTCTCCAACTATTTGTTTTTTTTCAATTTCAGATTTCCAGCATTCACAGTTCTTTGATTTGTTTGAATTTTAACACTTCATTTAGAGAATTTTACAAATCATTGTCTGTATGAAACCTGGTTGACATTTTTCAAAAAAATAAGTCATGTATTGTTGATTATTTGAAGAAATTTGTTGTCCCTGCCTCGTCTGGTCTACGTTTGACTCCAGACCCACAACAATCCATCACGCAACAACCTTCACCATTCAAACCAGAGTTCTCTATCATCTCGAGATCAAGGGCAGCAGATACATGGGAGAACTGTCATCAGCAAGTGTCCCTCCAAGTCACTCACCACGTTGGCTTGGACTACATTGCTCTACTGTTGCGAGGTTAAAATCCTGAAATTCCCTTCCTAACAGTACTCAGAAATTCCTCAATATATTACTCCCAGCTGTGAAAAGCATTCTCAACAAACCTCTTTGCCTTGATCTTTGTCCAATATTTGCTTGAAGTCCAATTACACAGATGGTGCACAGGAGATTTACGAGAATGGTATGTGGGAATGAAAGGCTTCTGTAGTGTGGACAGATTAAAGGGACTGGGATTTTTTTTTTTAAAAGCACAGTTTTCTTGGTGAGATTTGGGAGAGTGGATAGGGAGACTGCATTTCCATTAGAAACAATCAGCCACTGAGGCATGAGACTTTATATTTTCTTATACACAGCTAGTATCTTTTGAAAAGCTGATAGTAGCTTCTTCAAATATAACCTCCAAAAGACACTAATAAATACGTGAAAAAGGGGAAAACTGCAGAATGTTGGGAAACAACAAGCAAGTCAACTAATTGGTTACTCTTTCAAAATGTTAGCACAGGCTTAAAGGACCAAATATCCTCTGTTTCTAATATTTAATATCTTCAACAAATTTTGGTCAACAGTATATTAATCTCATTCTGGCCCATCAATCTCATTTTGAAACTGCCACAAACTGAAAATCTCATATACATCACAAGCTCAGGCTTCATGTATGAGCCTCAATTGTTGATACTAATAAACTTTTAAAATACAGGAAACAAAACAACTCACTTATTGTCACACAACATATGTAGCTGGAGTCACTGAATAGAAAATATAAGATCTTTGCTGATTTTCATTCTCAATCCAGGACCACAGCGGTGTGGCTGAAAACTATTAATTGACCATGGACCAGAAACCGAACATGGAACCTGCTGTTCAGTACAACAGTGTACAACATTAAGCCATCAAGTGAGTTAACTTTTAGATTGTGTTGTTGGCCACCCTGTGCTGAAATGTGACCCACTTCAAATCAAAAGATGAATTACATGAAACTTGATTGAGGGATCTATTATTTTTGAAGTACTTAGTTTACATACTAAAATATCATACTAACCCAGTGTTACTTGCATGGAATAAAAACAAAGACACATATGTAGGTTTCCATGATAAATTTGTATTGGGCCAGCCAAGCTTGTACTGCACAATTACAAATAGAATGTAGTTACATTAAATTCGTCCATCATTAATAGGCAACTTAACACTATCTTAAGCACAATTCTAAAAACAATATTTAAAGAGCATGAGATTTATAAAACACATTTAACTATTAAAGTACTGAGGCAGTACTGGATTTTGTGTGCACCATCCTGGTTGCTGTAAAAGATAAATTTCAAAACTCCTATATTCTTCATTTCTTAGATTTTGCCTATAGTTCAAAAGATGTCTGTATTTTTTTTGTTTAAATTCAAGATTTATTATGTAACATCCATATTCACATTATTCTGAAACACTGCATCTTGCATAAGCATCAAAAACATTTGGATTTGAATTACAGCCCATGATGGTCAATATGCTATAATGCCTCTTCATTTTTTTTTTTAAACTTTGCATCTCAGTTATCAAAGTAGAAAGGCCCAAAATGAGGTACAATTGAAAACTGTAAACCGCCAATATTACTTTTTCTTTTACAATGTTATAAACTTTTATTTGCAATTAAACAATTCTGTCCTGAGAAAGCGGTGATCATGTCAAAACTGATATAATACTGACAAGTGCTTCTCAATAATTGTTGTCTATGTTACATGAACATTCTAATCCTCCAATTTAAAATATCTTGAGTTGTACAGTGACTGGATGTTATTTAGTATTATACATTTCACTTAACATCTAAACTGTAAAGGCAGAGCATTTATAAAGTTAATCATTTGTGCTCACTTTTTGATTTTCAACATACCTCAAATCAATATTAAAATTACCATGAGGCACCGTATATAGATTAAAACATTAATAGACTCACGAGAACTTTGAAATATGATTCAACTCTGAAAATGTACATTGAAATTTTGGGAGCTGCATAAAAACAAATATATGTTTCTTTTTGCAGTTCAACCACAAGTTACTAATTGCAGTAGTAACTAACTAACTAAAATTTCCTTTTCTTTTCCTCTATGTGTGGGGGCAAATGTCTTAGCGGGCAACTAACATACTACCTGTACTGACAAGGAAATGATTGCTCACCAATCAGCTTGTGATACGCTGACAGATGGGCAAGGGCAAATTCCTCATCCTATCACAGGCCTGGATGTTGGCAACACAGGTTACCACAAACTGCTAGCCAGTCAAAGGGTTTTTTGGTCCAAAAAAAAAGCGTGCCAGTTGAGGCCTACTACTTGGGGGATCTAGCAGCAAAAAGTTTCCTTTCTTCCTCGTGGATCAAGTGGAAATCTGGGAGATAACGGTAAGAGCATTGGCTTTCACATACCATTCCCTTACTTCCCCATCTATCCTCGGATTACCAAAAATTGGACAATATTAGTACCTCCCTCCTCCAACCTGGCAGGTTGCCCTGGTTCCCTAACAGGGAAACTAGCTACCTTTCTCATATGCCAGACAAGCAAATGATTAAGGAGTTGGTGAGTGGAGGATCTTGAGTGGTTGTTCATTGACCACTTAAGGGTCTTAATTGTTGGTGAGTCAAGAGAGTCCCTAGATGAACTCATTGACAAGAGATGGTGTGGTGGCGAGAAGGGGGAGAATTTTTCTTCAGGGCCAACTCACCCCATTATTTAGCCTTATCAACATTTCCAAGGAGAAAATCACACCCTACATTCAGCAGTTGTACCCAGTAACCACTTTATCACTGTGTTCACATCCAGATTTTTAAAAATTAATGACTGTACTTGGGTTATCTCTCAATTTTTGAAGCTGCTCAATTGCTAAGTTGTTATTGGCCAATTTTCTTGTCAATTTTTTATGGATATGCAAAAAAATCTCCAGTTTTGTTGAGTTCATTAAGGCATGTAAACAACAGTATGCTTATTTTAATGATCATGCATTAATAACAACATTTACCCAGAAACCAAACTTCAGATCCATTCCAGAGAATTAAACTCTTGTAATTCTCAGACGCAATTTGAGATTGAAAATCTTTCAGGAAGAAATGTAGGGGCAGTCAAAAAAAAAATGGCAACAGGAGATGGAAAGGCAATAAATTGACTTGTCAAAATAGTTTTAGGAGCAAATGAAGGTGGTTGTGTACAAAAAGGATGCAATAAATGGAAAAATGTTTCATAAATAGTCATTTAAACTAAATTGTAACTGATGAAAGGGTGCTGAATTGATCACCAAAATGAGACTGTTCAAAAGCACAATATTTAACGATTTTCAAACTTTCAGCAAGACAAAAGCAATTTCTATTATACATATATTCACTACACTGTAAAGTGAATATAATGATTTCAGAATGGCATTCCTTTAATTTATGCTTGAAATAGCATTTGCGTTTCAAGGTCTGAAGTGAAGAATTTCATCCACTTAACTGTATTTACAATATGATGGTTTTGTAACACTAAACAATATTAACCATTTTGACTTTACAGTTAATCTCAACTACAAAAGCACTCAACATCCCTTCCACATTCCCCTGCATTCAAATTCCCTTAGCTAATGGAAAAGATGCTAAAATAGGTACTTAGTGTTTCTTATACTGTCAAACAGCACCATTCCTACACCAAACTGATTTAAAATATAATTCTCAAAACATTAAAATATATTGTTAATGCCAAATGTGAGTTCGACTCAGTTATAAATATCAGATATAACTTATCTTTGAAATTGCACTGGGAAATGTGCAACAATGGCATTTTTTGACTACTCGAGTCTCAGATTTACTACAGTCATGCTCCACCTGGAGCAAACATTTTCATAGTAAGTAATTTATGCTCAAACATACAAAAAGCAGTTCATATACTTTACAGAAATACTGAACCATTGTAATATAAATCAAGTTTTCCGATCAGTAAGTCAGACCAAACTCCTATTTATTTCTTGCTCACCTACATGTTTACTGCTTTTGCTAAGCTGGCCAAGATATCATTAAATTAATTACAGGCTTTAGATGTTATCCAAAGCTTAGTGATAATGCACTCACCTTAGAGTTGGAAAATAGACCTGGCCTGTTTTGAGGTGGACGTGAACGATAGCACTATTTAAATAACACGGTGCTTCTTTCTCAAAAAGTAACGAAATAATTATCTGGTCCTTTATTTCACTTGGTCAAAATCCTGCAACTCTCCACGCAACAGAGAGACTACACCATTTTGAGAGGGGAAGGGGGGGGCGGGGGGAGGTGATGGGAGCTCACCTCCTCCTCCTTGGGTTAACTTGGGATGAGCAATAATGGTGGCTTGGCCAATTACAGCCACATCTGGAGGATGAATTAAGAAGAAATTCGCATTGCTGTTTGTGGAACACAGTTATCCATGAAGTAGCTTTTGTGTTTCCTACATTGCAACAACGACTATATTTCAAAAAAGTACTTAATTATCTAGAATCAGTTTTGGGGCAGCTGAGGTCATAAAAGGATCTTTACAAAAGGGAAAGGAGATATTTTCTTTAAGAGTAAATATATTAATCAATTAAACTTGACCAGAAGTTATCATAAATGCAACCAATAACACCATTTTCAGAAGTCAATTCATTTTGGCACTTGTTACTGCTTTTAACTTAATTACATAGGACAGCAATAAAACCCCTTTACTTTTAGGGTTATTAGTGATTTTCTGACAACTTTATTGTTTAAAAAGTAGGGTATCAAAAACCTATCCAATTCAATTGAAAATACTCAAGTGCAGAAATAATACTGCTTTTAAGGACCAGCCAATAATACTTTTGACCCTAAATTAGAGACCCTAAGTAGATTATCAACATAAATCTTTCTACTTAACTTTCAGGTGTACAAGTAAAATGGATAGATACCTTAGTAAACTTTTATTCTGCAACGTATGAGAGCATATGCATTGCATCTAAATTAATCTTGACGTACATATTAACTTGTAACCCCCAAATGGTACTGCTTAATATGTACCATTTAAATTCATATACTAGACACCATCAAACTTAGTTCAAGTGTGATATAGTGGTAAGCTACAAGTGACAGGCCTGCACCAGGTATCAATAATCAAAGAATTAAATGGTGTCAAAATCTCCCTTTACTTTTGATAGATTAGAAGAACAGGCACTGGGTATTCGAAGGGAATATATTTTTGTACCGGAGACAAATATAGTTGAATGAACAATGAACATTTTAAACTGATGGACAACAAAATAAACCATAAGCAAGAGTCAACAAACTACTGATTGACTAAAATAAACCAAAGATATTAAAATGAAAAATTATAATTTCAACTGCTTTATGACATCTGTCTGGAATTGCATGCAATAAAACGATTGATAACATCTTCAGGGTTTTCTCTTTTCCTCAATAGTCAATAAGGAATGTGACTACAAAAATAAAAATAAATTGCACAGAAGTAGAATATGTACAGTAATCAAAATTATCTCTTTCTACTCCAACACCTCTGTACTAGGCATACAGGAATTAATACAGGAAAAGGTGCCTCTGCTAACAAGAAATAATGCATGTAAACGTCGTTCTAAAGGTCTAAGCAAATTACTGAATATAACACTTACAAATTTGAATTATTCAGAGGTTGGGTTTGAGTGTCAAATATATTTTGCATATGCACATTTTAAATGAAAATTGCATTAGAAAATGTCATACACAGCATGCATAAGAAGAAATCTTCGGGTGTGATTGAATGTTGAGGCAGGTTGGTGGTGTACAGCATTTAATCAGACAGAAGGTTGGCAATTGTGGACCCTGCTGCCTTCTGGCCTCTGCCCTTATTAAATCAATGGTGGGAAGGTGTACGAATGGCCATCCCAGCCTGCGACCCCAATTGAGGCCCCCAGTGTAGGCATTATTGGCCCAGTTAAGGGCCTTACCCTGCTGCTGGTGACGACTCAGTGGCGTGCTGGGGACACTGCTATATGGGAAGCCCGAAAAGCAAATCTTATTGGGGTTTCTTGAGAGCTTCCAGGAAGAGGGGCTTCTCTTTTCATATAAAGGCATTCTGTGTCTGATGGAAGTAGCTGGCATAGGAAGAGAGAGTGCACTGAGAACTACCCCCAGCCCTTGTTGCCTCCCCTTACTTGCAATACCCCTCCTGTCATCACTGAGCAAAGGCTCAGGTCCTTCCTTGAACTTAGGCCTCAAGTGAGTACATCACTGACATCAGTCACCACATCCTGAGAGGCACTGCCGAGCAATGAAGAACTGCTGACCAATCAGCAAACGTTCACTGATTACTATAAGTAAATGCGTCTTCCACCTCTCCTGAACTCACTTCTGGCATTTGGAAAATCAAATTTTTTTTGAAGCTGCTCCTAATACATTTTCAAAATTATGTATGCAATTGACAGATATTTAAGATCAGGCTTTGTACAAGCCGTTTGGAGGTAGGGTATTCCTTGGTGAATACTGGTTTGACCTGTTAAAATGTGAGTGAGATTCTTGACAGCTTGTGCATTTTTGGCCTTTTGTGTTAAATTCTGCAATGTGTCAATCAACATTTAACATTGCATTGATGTTCACAGAGTTTGCTTGGTTATACAATTCACAAAAAAACCTCCATCCATTCCATCAACCCAAACAAGTTAGGTACTCAGGTTCCAATTCAACACTTATATTCCAATATTTCTTCAATCATACCAAACATCCAATTTTAATGCACTTCAGTATTGGAACATCACTGTACTTGCTTTACCATAGTAAAACAATCATTCGCATCCATTGGGGGAGGGGAAACAAGTTTAACATTCAATAATCAAATTTTCTTCGAAGTCCCTGATAAATGAATCCATAATTTAACAGTTTAACCCTGCAGTTGCTGGACGAACATTTAATATAAAGGCCTTGCAATGTGTTCAAAACAGTATTTATATACAAACTACATGGTCACCAATTTCAATATTTATGAATTTCTACCATTAGCTTAAATATTTATTGCTCATTTGAAAATATAGTTTAGTTTGATGCTATATTAGAGACTGTAGGTAGACTCTAAAAAGGTTTTCATTGATGCAACTGGCACAGTTGACAAAAGTTGGTTTGCTGAAATAAACTAGTTTTGCATCTCAAACCTGAACTGAAATCATTCTTAAAAATGTGGTCCACTCTCCATTTTGATATTCATGTTAAATGACCAGTGTACATAAAATGGATAGCAGCAACAACAGAAAGTTCCTTTAAATAGCTGGTTCCTTTTGTATCATGAAAGATGATTCCTTTGAATAAAATTCATGGCATTGCGATAGAATAACCAATCTACAAAATACTCACTTCAGTGAGCATTATTTGATTAAACACAGTAGTCCCAATGTTACAGCAGAACATCCAAAATTCCAGGTTCCTAATATACAGCTCTGCCTTTCAATTTAGGAACTTCCCTAAAAAGTGGACAACTTGCCACCCTCGAAATAAATTAAAAGCCTATGTACATCCATTAAGGCAATGCAATTTCCTATTCAAATTCATAGCTCACTGACTTACGACCTGTCCAGAGAACTGATAAGAAACGGTGGAATTCTCGATTTAATATAAGCAGCTTGGTTTTGAGAAATCTAAGATTGCACGATCCCTCTGAATTTAAACCGAGTTGTACAAGAAGAAATTTCACTTTTGAAAGAAGTATTTATAACTCATCCTCATCAGTTCCTTCAAAAGTTTCCACTTCTTCCTTCCGGTCCAATGCTTCAGATGAGTGGCCTTCACTCTCTTCCCTTTCTGCATCAGGTGGATGTTCAACAACTTCACAACTTTGGGTTTGAAGTTTATCTGGACTGGAGTGTTTTGTTGACTCTGGCCCTGGACAGCTTGGAGAGCTAATGCCAAGTTCTAGTTGAGCAACCTGTGTATCCATAGAGTCAATTTGGATATGGATTGTGATTTCTCCTGTAGTTTTTTCCTCATATCTGCTTTCTGGAATAAATTAGAATTTGATAGTGAAATCACTGCCCTAATTAGCAGCAGTTACATAATTGTATTTCAATCAGGGAATAAGCTATCAAAATAAAAAAGCAAGCAACAAAATCCAGCAGGAAATATATCAAATATTTTTACAAGCATCTTTTGGCTTGACCACTTAATTCTGTAACCAGTCTACCTCTTTCAGACCACCCCTTTCCATTGTTCTTGGTTACCTTGAAGATCAAGGCAAAATAAAGCTCCTCCACCCCATTAGAAATCAGCCCTTGCCATTTCCTTCTCCCAAGCTCTCAATCCATGATTAAAATCTTCAAGTACTTTTCTCTCAACTATTTTGTTTCCGAAATAGGAACCAACAGATTATTGTCTCTGTATCCGCCATCATCCCCACTTTCCTGCTCCTCTCGATTCTTTACCATACCTAATAATTTCTCCACCTAGGCCCCTCAGAATGCAGTACTTGAAGTAATTAGTTTTATGTCTCACAAAGTACTCTTCTGAACCAGCTTGTGACAATCTACCATCCCCATCTTGACCTTGTGCTTGCCTACTTTAGCAATTATCCTTTATTCTTCAAGATTTTCAAAACTATCTCCCTTCTTCTTAAAAGGATATCCTACAGCGTTTAGAAGAAGCTGGATATTTGGAGAATATCTGCCTGACAATTTTCTATTCTTAACGTTAAACATAGTAAAGAAATTGGGGCTAACATTAATAAAATATCTAAAAATGTAACAAAATATGAAATGGAATAATTAATTCGTTCCTTCAAACACTAAGCATAGCAGGATAGGTGCTGTGCTACAGTTGCAGCAGGTGGGAGATCCTGAATGCCAGTTTGGTTGAGAGCAAATATAGATGTAGAAAGTCCTTGAAGTTCAAGCAGCTTTGGCTTATAGTTTATGAGCTGGAAGCTGAACTACAGACACTGAGATACTGGGGGCAAAAGAGAGAAGAGGGAGCAGAGGGTCTAGATTCTTTGAACCAGGAAGTGGTTATGCCTCTTAGGATTATGTCACCCAATTTGTTCATTGTTCAAGGATACAACAGTATGACTGAGTGAAGCAGGTAAGGGAATTCAGAGGGCAGGAGCCACAGGCTTTGTGATTTTTCAACAAGTCTGAGGTTCTTTCAGCTTGTCTGGATGATGGAGTGGGCTGCAGGGTGGATGACCTAACTGACCAAGGCACCATGGTAGGGGAAGCCATTCAAGACGGGAAAGAAAGAAGAAATGGAGTGGCATTAGAGGCCAGTATAGTGACAGGGATTAACCCCATTTCCTGCAGCAAAGAGTATGCATCCAGATAGCTGTGTTGCCTGCTGACGCCAGGGGCTGGAGAGGAACTTGCAGTGGAAGGGGAGGATCCAGACATCTTGGTCCATGTAGAAAAACAGGGAAATGGCAGATGAATAAAACAGGCATTTTGCATTGGTCTTCACTATAGAGGACACAAGTAATATCACAGAAGCAGGGGTAAGTTAGAAATGGAAGAGAAGAGGAACTCAGGAAAAATCACAATTACCAGAGAAATCGCTTGATGTAAATTGTTGGAGCTATGGGTCCTGATGGATTTTTTTTAGGATCTTGAAGCATGGCAAGTGAGATACCTGACATGTTGGTTTTAATTTTAAAATCCTTGATTTGGAGACAGTCCCATTAGATTAGAAGAAAGCAAATGTAACTCCTTTGTTCAAAAAAGGAGACAGAAAGCAGTAAACTACAGGCCAGTTAACATCTTCATAGGGAAAATTTTAGAAGCTATTAAAGAAGTTACAGCACTTTGAAAAATACAAGATAATTAGGCACAGTCAACATGGTTTTGTGAAAGGGAAAGCATATTTGACTAATCTATTGGAGTTCTTTGTGGAAGTAACAGCACTGTAGATGATACAGATAAAGTCTCTATAGTCTTACTGGCCACAGGGCTGCTTTCTCATTACAGAGAGATGACTGGTTGTGGTTTAACCTGAGGGTCATATTGTCTTAGCTGACGGTGAGATTGAGAAGGAGAATCTTTCATGGTAATCTCAGCCAGTGCAGGAACCTAATCCATGCTGTTGGTGTCACTCTGCGTTGCAAACCAGCTATCCAACCAACTGAGCTAGAGGAACCAGTGGGGTCTTACAAAGGCTTACAAAGAAAGGTTGCACATGCTCAACTTGTATCTGCTGGAGTTTAAAGAGGTGACTTGATTGAAACAGATCCTTAGGGGTCTGAATGTATCACTTATGGGAGAATCTAGGAGTCACTAAAAAAATTAACAAGGTTTTCCCATTTAAAATGGAGATAAGGCAAGTTTTTATCTTTTAGTGGGTTGTGGGTCTTTGGATCTCTTCAAGAAAAGGTGATTTAATATTTTTAAGGCAGAAGTAGATAGATTTTTGTTAAGTAAGGGAGTGTGAAATGTCATCAAAGATAGGTGGAAATGCAGTTTTACAGTTACAATCAGCACAGCCATGATCTCACTAAATGGCAGAATAGGCTTAGGGGCTGAATGGCCTGTTCCTGTTCCTATTTCATATCTTGCCACGATTCTTCTGTTTTATGATTCTATCCCAATTTCTAATATTCCTTCTCTAAATATTACCCTGTTCATCCTTCCAATGCACTCTAAGCTACCTTGCAGGACTGTGACCAAGGCACTTTGTTCCATGTTGACATAGAGTCATAGAATCATACAGCACAGAAAGAGACTCCTAGGTCCAACCGAACATGTTCCCCATGCCGAGCATAATCCCAAACTATACTGGTCCCACCTACCTGCTCCTGACCCTTATCCCTCCAAACCTTTCCTATTGATGTACTTATTCAAATGTCTTTTAAACATTGCAATTGTATCCACATTCACCACTTCCACAGGAAATTTATTCCACACATGAACCAACCTCTGTGTAAAAAAAATTTGCCCCCACATCTTTTTTAAGTCTCTCCCCCAGTCTTGAAATAACCCATCCTAGGGAAAAGAAAACCACCATTAACTCTATCTATACCCCTCATTATTTTATAATCTTCTATAAAGTCGCCTCTCAACCTCTTATACTCCAGTGGGGAAAGTCCCAGCCTTTCTTTAAAATTCAAACTTTCCATATCCAGCAACATCCTGGTAATTCTCTTCTGAGCCCTTTCTAGCTTACGAATATCCTTCCTGTAACTGGGTGACCAGAACTGGACATAGTATTCCAGAAGAGGCCTCATCAATATCCTGTACAATCTCAACATGACTTCCCAACTCCTATACTCAAAGGACTGAGGTATGTTAAACAGGTTAACTACTGCACATATACTTTTTTTTTTTAAAAATGACTCAAGGTTTCTTAAAAACACAAACAAAAATCTCACCACAACTAAACCAAAAAAAAACCAAAATTACAGACCTTGTCCTAGCTGCTTGGCCTTATCGATTAACAACACATCCACATTTTGGTTTTCATTCAGAGCATCCAGCAGGATTGAGCCTTCTTTGTGGAAGAGGAAAAGAAGGGGTATGGTGATATCACTGGCATTATCTCCATCACCAGCCATCTGGAATACAGGGGAGGCGTCACTGCTACTGCCTTCCACATTATCTAAAGAAAGGATTGTAAGAAAATCAAATAATTGAGCTACAGACAAAATGAACTACTCTGACAAATAGAAAACAATTTAGCACTATCCTTCTAGCTTTTTAAAAACATAAACACCCTTCTAAAATATCCTGGTATAATTAATTTTATAGCAACACTGTCTCAAACTCAGGGAAATGACAATTCAGCACAGACTGATCCATTCTGAAAGGAAAAGGTACCTAATTTTATTGGCTGTTAGGCTGTATTCTAGATAAAAATGTTAGTGTGAAGTAAGCTTCTGATAAAAATCACACTTTACCCAATTAAAAGTAAATAAATTATTCAAGCTATTCAAAATAAACAATACCCACCAATAATGATAGCTCCAATGGCCCCAGCCCTTTGCAAATTCCTTGCCTTATTTGCAAACATACAATCTCCACGTTGTGCTAGGACAATTTTACCATGGACCTGCTCTGAGTTAGTTACATCCAAGCATGCAGTGTATGGAATGGCTTTCATCAGTGTTCCTTTAACCTACAAGAAGATAAAACAGTTCCTGAAGTAATAACGTAACACTTCAAATATAATGCTGAATAGGAAAATGAAGTGAGTGGATTTCAGTTCTAATTGGCCGGTGATGAGTTCTGAAACCTGGCTAGCCTCTGCAGGGAAGCTCTAAGAGGACGCTTAGCACTTTGTCCAAGGAGGACAAAAAAATAAGGGCAAAAAATACCATGGGGACTTTTGGAGCTGCATCAGTTGATTAATTGGAACAAGTAACTTGCCTATGTAAGGATGTACCTTACCCCTAGCAAAACCAAAAACAAAGTCAGTATGTCAGTTGTTACAAAAGGGATGGCTAAAAGAAATCAGCTCCCAAATTTAATGTAGATATCATTAAAAGCTTATGCCACCAAAAGAATGAAACTTATTGTTTGGGAAAACATAGACACTATCAGGACAGACTACTCAGCATACCACTTTGAAACTCAATTGTCAAGAAAAGAAATCCCACTCAATTACATTTAGAGAAATAAAATAAAACTAAGAACTGGAGATCTGAAAAAAAAAAAGTGCTGGAGAAATTCAGAGAGTTGGCAGCATGTGTGGAGAAAAAACAAAACAGGAGTTTCAGGTCCACTGATCCTTTGAGGGCAGGTGCTACCAGACCCGCTGAGTTTTTCCAGCCTTTTGTTTTTGTTACATTCAGACAAACCTAAGTGTTAAAATATAAACTCCCACAAATTACACTACACTTCTTTCTCCCTCCTCAAACCATTCCATTAGCCGTGCGTCCACATAATCACTTCAATATTTAAAATACAAAAAGAAATGCAACTCACCCCATGTTCCTGTTTACTAAGGTCCATTCCAAAATGAGCTGGACCTGCAGCTAAAACCACTTGTCCCAAGAATGGGGGAGATATAATCTGTACAGCAAATGATGTCATCTCTCCTTTTGCTTGAGCCTGAGCCAGTTCAATGATTTCTGCTATAAATTTTAGGCCATGCTGACCACTTTGTGGACTTGCAGCCTGAAAAAAGACATTCAGTGTGTCAATAAACCAAACAAAGCAGGAATTTGTTTTTCATTGTAAATACAGTTTTTTTTTGGTGAAATTTTAGAATCATTCAGCAGACTTTGGAACTGATGCATCATCAATTCTGCTTCTAACCAATATCAAAGTTATCAGCTTGCACTTCTTGAATATTTGCAATTGAAGCATGTTATTTTGTCTGCATGTATCATTACAAAGAGGTAAAATCAGGAAAGAGCAAAAACGTTAAAGCACACAAAGTAGCAATGATAATGAGATAAGTCAGAAGATGAAAGTGATGATGGGGGTGAAAAACAGGCAGAGAACAAATCCAATAATATGTTGAGCTGAATTGGCAGCTTAATTCAACTTCCGCATCAGTTGGCAGCTGAATGACAAAAAAAGTCTGTCCACACCAATATCATACTGTATAAACAGCAAGTGGGACCTCTGCCCCTCAATAGGCGGAAGTCCTGCCTTTGAGGACAGCTGACCAATCCAATTCTCCAGAGGCTCTAACAGCACTGGAACTGCAACTAGGTCCCAGGTGAAGACAGCCATGATGCCTGGATGCAGTATAAATCCAGTGTTTTGGATGGAAAAGAATTGGAGAGCCCAGGGAAGGGGATGAAGAGGTGGATTTTGGAGACCAGGCAGGAAGGGACAAGGGAATTGGGTAACTTTTTGGTGGAAGGGTTGGGTGGAGGGGTTAGGGGTCCCCACTTGCACACAAGACATCACCAAATGCGGTGTCACCCCCTGAGGCAAACATTTTCAATGTCAGCCACTTAAAACAAAACTCTAAATGCAAGTCCCAACATTTGAAAATCAACTAGTGAAGGACAAGTTTGGTCAGCCTTCCAAATTAAAGCAAAGTGGCGCAGCTCCACAAGGTCATTATACTGTTTTCATTAAAAATAAACTTGTCATCTTAATCATGGATTAGCAGATAGATTTAAGAAAGAAAATGTGTTTTAAATGGCGATTACACAAGTAAAGGGAAGTTCGGGTGGGCATGGGGGGTGGGGAGGTGGCATAATGTAGTGATAATATCACTGGACTAATAATACAAAGGCCCAGGTGAATATTGAGGACACAGGTGCAAATCCCAATACAGCAGCTGCTGGAATTTTAAAATAAATTAATAAAATCTGGAATTGAAAGTTACTGCTGTCAGTGATGCTGACCATGAAAATTTCATGTTTTTTTTTTAAAGACACACTTGATTCACTAGAGAAGGAATCTGCCATTCTTACTGGGTCTTGCTTCCTTTTCACTCCAGCTCTACATTACAGTGGTTGACTCTTAACTGTTCTATGAACTGGCCTATCAAGCCATTCAGTTCAAGAGAAATTAGGGATGGGCAAAAAGTACTGGTCTTTCCAGAAATGCCCCTATCAAATTAAGTGACCAAACAATGTAAAACTGACGCGTACTCAATTTTTATTTGCTTTTATAAGGCTAACAGTTATCATTTCTCTCCGCTGTTCAACTTTGTCTCAGCTACTGACCTGATCAGGTGTGTGTGTCAGCTGGATACGTCCATCATTTGTTGAGACTACACTGAATCCCATTTGTTTCAGGATTTCCAAATGATCCATGCCACTAGCAACAAAATCTTTTGTCTGAAGTGTTGGGAAAACTTTAGACTGGGATGATTCCATACACTTTTCCCTGTAATCATATAAAATCAAATGCAAAAGTAAAAACATTTCCACAATTACTCAGGAGATCTATTCTTCAGGACTTTGAATCACTTAAATTACTATTCAATGATTCAATTTCTCAAATGCAATAATACCACTAATGACTGAAGAAACAAAATTAATAAATTTTGTAACTAAAACGTAACATTTCACAAGACAATTGAGAAAATGTTAACTTCTATAGCACTTTTTATGATCCCTGAACATCTCAAAGCACTTTACAGCCAATTAAGTACTTTTTGAGTTGTAGTCACTGACTAAGTAAAATATATGGCAACTAATTCAAAATCAGCAAACTCCCACAAACACTCATGTGATGAATGTTGATACCACTGAGACTCAATTGATACCTACGCACAAGGAAGTTTAGAAGTGCTGTTAAGACACAGTTTTAGCTGTTTAAACTTGAACAGCACCCCTACATTTATGCACTCCTAAATTGTTGAGTCTTGACAATCTGTTAAGATTCTTGGCTGTAAACCTAGAGTCAGTTTGTCCATTTCATATTTGACAAACAGACAGCCCACATCAGTACCTTTGGCTAATTCAGTTAAACTACTAAAACTAGTTCTTCAACTCCAATTCTTGTTCTTTTAACAAATTAGTATTCTGGGTGAGATCAAGAGCTTCTTCAGTTTTAGGTACAGATTATAAAGGGGTCAGGTGGTTCAGTGCATTTAATTTCATGGATTTTGGATCTGTAAAAAGAAGACAATGCTAGGAAATGTATGCATATTTAATAGTGCTAAAAGCACAATGTCATGTTCTATCCTTTTAAGAACTGTGGATTGAAAGAGCAATCAGGCAGCAACTTCCCAAATCTCCATTCATGTTACTTTGTAATTAAACACTGGGAGCTTTGATGCAGCTGCCCCAGTTCAAGATTTTTAAATGGGGAAAACATCAGAATAACTTGCTGGGTGGTGCATCTGAAACTGGACACATTATAATCATTGACATGCTGTACTCTGTAAATCTTATTGACCCAAGCAAGCTGTTGTTACTCCCAGTACTGCTTCAAACATTTGTTTCAATCAAAAAAATTAACACACAAATACTTTTGAAAAGCAGAAATTTGAGAAGCTTTGAGTAAAACTCAAGCAAACTGAAAAATTTACATTCATCTTTTCTTCAACAGACACTTGATTGATGCAAGATAACCATTACAATTTCACATGGAAAATCAGACTAGCCTTTATGCATACAAATTTCATAATCTCAAAGGCAGGTTAATTTAGGAGATTGCGTTCAAAATCATCCACCAACTGTTTTGGTTTATTCAGGGTTGTCTTTGTTCTTTTTTTGATTCATTCACAGGATGAGGGCGTCGCTGGCTAGGCAGCATTTATTGCCCATCCCTAATTGCCCAGAGGGCAGTTCAGAGTCGACCACACTGTTGTGGGACTGGAGTCACATGTAGACCAGATCAGGTAAAGATGGCAGTTTCCTTCCCTAAAGGACACTAGTGAATCCAGATGGGTTTTTCCAACAATTGGCCATGAATTCATGGTCATCAGTAGATTCCTAATCCAGATTTTTTTTTATTGAATTCAAATTCCACCATCTACTGTGGTGAGATTCAGACCCAAGTCCCCAGAACATCACCTGGGTCTCTGGATTAACAGCCCAGCGAGAATACCACTAGGTCATCGCCTCACCACAGTCACGGTCACATACACTGCAGTAAATCTGATGGTCACAGTGATGGCCCCAATGGCTGGGAAGGAGATAATCCTGTCATGGCTGTTCCCTTGAGTGCCAATGGTCTTCAAAGGCAGTTCAGGGTCCTCGTACAGTTAAACAGAATGATGGAGTGAGAGCAGTAGTCACAGCTGGGACTGCAACAGGCCCTAGACCAGAAGCATTACTGCAGGCCTTAGAAAAGAGGTGACTGTGGTGGGCTTGAGGGGTCCAGTTGTTGGTCTAGCAGAAAGGAAGGGTGTAGTCCTTGCTGCCAGTAGGCTCCTTCCAGCGATGACAGGATGATGCCCTTAATTGGCCACTTAAGACACTTGATTTCTCAAATGGCCTCAAAATAGGAAGGACAAATTTTACCTCTCTCACTTTGACTTGAGTTGGGGGATTGTGGGACGTGAGAAATCAGAAAGAATGGAGCTTCTGCTGTAACGTCCCATATACCATGGGCAGCAACATCCCACCGTTCAGTTTATTCTAATTTGTTCACGTGCGTGTGAAAGAGACCGAAACAGCGCGCGAACGAGAGGGCGTGAGCGAGAGAGAGAGAGAGAGAGAGGGCGAGAGCGAACGAGAGAGAGAGAGCACGTGAGTGAAAGAGAGAGCAGCAGATGCAGAACTATATCAAATTCTATTTTTTGTTTCTACCTTCTACCTAAGGGTGGTCCAGAATTAAACATTTTGTTGAATCATTGAAACAGACAGTATGGTAGAGGCCCATTGGGTTTTAAGAAAAAAAAAATTAGTTTTTAAAAATTCTGTGGGAATATGATATTTAGAATGACAAAGCTCTTATATTGATTTATTAAAAGGAGATGCTCTGAATATCACTGCACAAATTCTTTTCACATACCTGCAAAATCCTTTTGTGCTATATCAGTAAAGCCTTTTCTAAAAATCGTGCAATTTCAGATTATTAAATTGCAATACCTGGCTGGAGAATATACCTGTCTGCGGACATCCGTGAACTTGCATCTGGAACGATATCTCTATAGGTCTCCCTTATTTTCCGTGCATAGGATGGGTTATTAGGAAACAATGTTTGAGCGCTTGGGCATGTATGGGAAAAGACACCAGTTACTTTACTTTCCAATTCCACACTCTGGGCAAACGGGAAAAAATGGATGAATTAATTGAAAGACATTTATGTAGAACACTTTGCATTGTAAGTCTGTGTTTCTAAAATTGATTCAATTATATGGAAAACACAAGAAACAGAAACAATGGTCACAATGAGAACAACAAAATCAAATTTGTACCAAATGGCTCAAAAAGTACATGCATCGAAAGAGCCACATTTAGCCAATTGTAAAAAGTAACTGTATCCATAAGAAAGTCTCATACATGCTGTCCATTTCCTTTAATGATTGGAAACATTCACAAGCTTGTGCATATTTCAATGTTTCATGAAGCTTGTCAAATCCAAGTAGGTGATTCGCCAGACTGACAACTCTTCCTCACCCTTTGGTGAACATTATTGGTTCCCAAATACATTTTCCAAGGTTCCCCGAGTTAGCAACTTCAAGTTCCACCTTGTAACACTAGCGTCCCTGACGTTTTGAAACATTTGTTTTATAAAAACATCATAAGTAAACAAGATGGTTATAAATTATACAGGTGAGTTTCATCCTTTGTAATTCTTTGCGACATACACCGTGATAGAATCATTTAACCTCTACAATGCAGACAGAGGCCATTTGGCCCAGCAAATTCACACTGACCCTCTGAAGAGTGTCCCACCTAGACGCAGCAAATTGCTAATCCACCAAGCCTGCACATCCCTGGACACTATGGGGCAATTTAGTAAGCCAATCCACCTAAACTGCATATCTTTGGACTGTGGGAGGAAAGCAGAGCACCTGGAGGAAAACCATGCAGACACAGAGAGAACGTGCAAACTCCACAGACAGTAACCCAATTGAACTGGGTCCCTGGCATTGAGGCAGCTGTACTAACCACTGAACCACCCGATGATGTTAAGTAGAATTTATTTTCCTCATAGTTTTCACCTCAAGTTAAACATGACCTCACTTTCAATTCCCTCATTCCATGATACTAGTTTGAGTGGTTACAGGAAACAGACACCATCTCTGCTTCTCGTCTGTGAAACAATTTTGAGGGGTCAAAAGAATCATCCATCGTCACAGGGCAGGATTTTGCTGGTCTACACAAGGAAGGATCATGGTTTGTGATGGGTTAGCAGGTATAAGATTGTCTGGGTTGGGAGATACAACCATGGGGAGTGATGGCAGATTGCTCCCAAACTATTTCATTAACAGCTGAGCTACCCTTCAGATATGCCTCCTACCACAATGGAGCAGGAAATAAATTAAATGTTGAAAAGGCCCGTACTAGCCAGCTAACCAGGCCATCAGCACTTCAAGGGCACATCAAGTCCCCACTGAGTCAAGAGTGGGAATTGATGAATGCAGATGGCCTCCCAGCCAACAAACCAGGAGATTTTAGAGATTAGAAGTATCTTCTCACTCAGAGAGGGAACTGCTGGGAATGGAGGACCGCCCCTGTGATTAGCAGACTCATCTCAGTACATGTGAGGACATACCAACCAGCCAATTTAGCTGCTCTTGGCAGCAACTAGCACGAAACTAAATGGGGCAATTGTACAATCTGCTGCCTCATTCGACACGTACAGTGTGAGGTAATCCAATTCAAATCAGGTGTGGTCTAACTTAAGTCTTAATCATTTAATTAAGTACTACGATGGAAAAACATGCGAGATAGAGTGCAAAAATGGCAATGATACCACAGTGACCTACCGTTATATTCTTACTACAGGTATGACAAACTGTGGCTAGTGCAAGAGGCAGTAAATGAGCCTCAGTGGTGAAAATATAATCATCAATGTTGAAGGGCAGTTCACTGTCATCAGCAAACAGCAAATAGAGGTATTTGAACATCTCAGCCAGAAAGAATGAATCCATCCTTAAGAGAAGAATAAAAATGCTAACATACAGTGCAGTAATTCAAACAGTCTTATAACTTTATGGTCAGACATTCAAAATTCCCATTTAAAAAGAAACATACCATGCTAGATTTTAGATCAATAGCAAATAATTAACTGCTTCTGAACACAAACATTACATTTGTGTGGCTGAGATTATGATTTAATTTTGTCTTGAACAAGCATGCCCGGAACAGAATACAATTATTCAGATTTTACTATTTCATCTGCCAAAGGGGATGCATTCAGTTTGCCAAAATTACGTAAATTTAGTTGGTAGTCACATCAGACAAATGCCAATATTTAACTTTACCACAAGCATCTGCACGGGGGGGCAAAAACATGAAGTTGAAATCAGAATTGTATATCTCTTTGAGGAACATTAGTTATAGCGTGGACAATAAAACAGAAAGGCTGTGAAGCCTTAGAAAGATTATCCATATTCATGTTGTTATATTTCCATTTTTATTTTAAAACAGAGATATTAAGAACAGCATTCAATAAACATCTCAAACATTTGCCAAGATTTGATGGCAATTAATAAAAGTAATAAACTTAAGGTAAACAACAGGTACTAAAAATGAATGCTTACTTTCTTTAAAATTATGGGCCCATAAACATCACTGAAATGTTTAACTGAAGCATGCTTTTTAAGAAAAAATACACATGCTTTCAACAATAAAATAATTATGGGAGAAAACAGACACTCATATTTTCATTAAAAGATTACACCCACGGATTTTTACACTTTTCAAATTTCCCCCAACTCTGCCACCAAGGCCTTGTAAAAAAAAATTAAGGGATAAGCTATCTTTGCTTTCAAAGGCATTTCTATCTTTAATTAATTGATTTTATGCTTCATTTGTTTCAAGAGCATAGATTTCATTCATTTCAGGAACACAGGATAGTATTTCTCTGCTGGCCACTTTAAATTAAAGTGGACTAAAACAAATATTAATCTTCTTCTTTGAACATTCACCCAGCAATGGGCTCATTTAGTCAGACTGTTCTGACCTTAAAAAGTGAATGACTCAGTGAATTTTTGGACTGATTGTTGCAAGTTATACTGAACTCCTGGCAACAATTTACCTGTCCTCATGATTGCCAGTTCGGACATCTTGCACAGCAGCAAAGCCACAAGGCACTCGTGCATGCTGGTTCAAACTATCCACAACAGATTTGCCAACATGTAGATAATAAGGGTCTTTGGTGGCCTGATTGCAAAGATAAAAATAGAAAAGCAGATTAGATGTGGTGATAGAAAGCTGACCTGAGGAACAGCATTTTCTACTTTAAGAGACTGGAGGTTCTTCTTAAACAATTTCTAATACACTTCCACTCAGAAATAAATGGTAATTATTGATTACAAAAAAAGATGTGCAATGACATTATTATTAAATAGAAAGAAATGTTAGTGAGAAGTCACATTAAAGCAGCCACATCATCAGATTTTCTGATTTAGCTAGAATTCTTGCACTCCGTATGGAGGCTGGAGAAGTAGTAATGAGTAAACAAAGAAATGGCAGAGGAACTCAACACATATTTTGCAGTCTTCACCTTCGAAGACATCAGCAGCATACCAGAACTTCGAGAGAGTCGGGGGAAAGAGGTGAATGTATGTAGTGGCCATCACGAAGGAGGTGCTGGAGAAGCTCAAAGGTCTGAAAGTGAATGAATCACCCGGACTAAATGAACTACATCCGAGGGTCCTGAAGGAGATAGTGGAGAAGATTGTGGAGGCATTGGTGATTGGAGAGTCCCAGAGGACTGGAAAATAGCTAATGTGACACCCCTGTTTAAGAAGGGAGTGAGGTAGAAGAATGGAAATTACAGACCAATTAGCCTGACCTTGGTGATTGTTAAGGTTTTAGAGTCCGTTATTAAGGGTGAGAGCGCAGAGTACATTGAAGTGCATGGTAAAATACGGCTGCGTCAGCAAAGCTTCATCAAGGGGAGGTCATGCCTGACAAATCTGTTAGAATAATTTGAGGTGGTGACAGACAAGTTAGACAAAGAAAAGCCAGTGGACGTGATCTATTTGGATTTCCAGAAGGCATCTGACAAGGTACTGCGCAGGAGGCAGCTAGATAAGAGAACATGGCATTAGAGGCAAGCTACTGGCATAGATAGAGGATTGGCAGACTGGCAGAGAGTAGGGATAAAGGTTTATTTTTCCAGGATGGCAGCCAGCGACTACTAGAGTTCCACACAAATCAGTGTTGGGACCACAGCTATTCATTTTGTGTATTAACAATCTGAATGAAGGAATTGAGGGCATTGTTGGTAGGTTTGCAGATGACACACAGATAGGTGAGGAACAGGAAGCAGGGAGGCTGTTGAAGGACTTGGGACAGGCTTGGACAGTGGGCAAAGAAGTGGCAGATGGAAGACAATGTGGGAAAGTATGAGGTCATACATTTTGTTAGGAAGAATAGAGGCATAAACTAATTTCTAAGTGGGGAAGTCTTGGTACAAATGGACTTGAGAGTCCTAGTTCTGGATTCTCTTAAGGTTAACATGCAGGTTCAGGTGGCAGTTTGGAAAGCAAATGCAACGTTCACACTCATTTCATGAGGGTTAGATACAGAAGCAGAGATGTACTGCTGAGCCTGTTTAAGGCTCTGGTCATTCGGAATACTGTGAGCAGTTTTAGACCCTGTATTTAAGGAATTTATTGACACGAATGATCCTAGGAATGAAGGGCTTATCACGTAAAGGAGTGGTTGAGGATTCTGGGTCCTTACTTGGAGTTTAGGAGGAAGAGAGGGAATCTCATTGAAACTTACAGAACACGAGAGGCTTGGATAGAGTGGACGTGGGGATGTTTCGACTAATAGGAAAGACTAGGATCTGAGGGTACAGCGAAGTATGAAGGGACCACCCGTTAGAACTAAGAAAAGGAGGAAATTTTTCAGTCAGAAGGTGAATGATGAATCTGTGGAACTCTGAAGAAAGCTGTGGAGGCCAAGCCATTGAGTGTCTTTAAGACAGAAATAGATAGGTTTTTGATTAGTAAGACAATCAATGGTTAAAGGAGAAGCGAGTTGAGAAACATATCAGCCATGATCAAATGGATGACCAGACTTCGATGGGCCAAATGGCCTGATTATCTTATGGCTATGTTCATATTGCAGTATCCTCTATTCTGCAGGCTTTCTTGAGACATGAATAAAATATGAAAAATTTAAGAATATTAAGGAAGAAAGGAACAGAACACCACCATTAGAAATTTTAAGTGAAAATAAATGACTATAAATGGCACCAGATAACAAATCTGACAAGATGGAGAATTTCTACTTTCTTTAATCTGCAGAATATTGAATTGTTAAATTTTGCACAAAGAATTTAGTGGTTCATGGGGATTACTAACCTTGTAAAGAAAATAAGTACTTTCAATAAATTCTGGTCTTAAAGGATGTTGAGCCCAATGAACTGCAAAGTCAGTGGTAAAAGCCTTTGAAAATACAAATCAGACAAATTTAAATCATAAGTGACTCCTGTGGGAGGCAAAATAAAAAACTTATACATATTAAAGTTCAACTTTCCACCAATTTTCTTATCTGCTTTGGAGATATGATACCAGACTGCTTAATATTAGGCCATGCATGAGCAAGAATTTGCTGTCATTTAATCAGGAATATCAAGACCTCTAATTTTATACAAATGTACACATCCTTGCTGCCACCTTCATTCTACTTACTGGATGTCTATTCAGATGGCATGTAATCTTAGTTGTCAACCAATGCACTGATTTCTAGGTGGTACTGGAGTAGAATTTAGGTTCCCAGGAGGCAGATTGTGATTTTAAATCAAGTAATGACAGGTAGCTTCAGGTTTAACCTCCACGTTTTACAATGGGTCCAAAAGATTTCCCAGGAAATCCAAGATCTGGAACAAAGTGATGTAAGCTTCAAAAAGCATTAGTCGTGGGATAGGTGGTGAAAAAGAGTGCTTTGCTCAGTTCTCCAAATCCCCTTCCCATAGAAAAGCCTCCAGAGTCAAGTCTTGGATGTCTCCTCCCGTCATTTGAGATCGGACTCTGCCCATCCACTTACACATACCCTTCCAGAGTCGGAACTGAATCTACCAGCTCTTCTCAAGTACTTTCCACCTATCTAGGAGCTAAGCCTGTCAATCTAGTTGACTTCTGACAAAGAATCTGTCGGGGCCAGAAGGCAGATTCTCCATGTGAGGAAGCCTAGACTTTCCCTATCCTTGAGCAGGTGCAGTTACATCCAAAATGCATTTGAAATGTTTATATACTATTATAATGAATTGGGATTTCTTGAAAATGCTTAAAACATACTTGACCGGCTTATCAAAACATGAAAGTGAGCATCTACTTCGATTCCTGTCTTCCAAAGAAACTGCTGCCTTTAACAACTAATTTTTAAAAAACTGCAACAATAAGTAATTGAAGAAAATGAGAGAGTCTGGAATCTACTTGTAAATAATTCTGTTTACATTGTCATTCAAGTCTAGTGTGCTAAAGACTACTTGTCACTTATCAAAAGGACACTGCAGTCACAACTTAAAAATGCACCATCAGGAAAATCTTTTCCAAACAGTGATTTAACAAAGCATTTTAATTTAAACACAGAGCCAGAAGAGTAAGTCCTAAATGAGGAAAAGTCTGAAACTTCTTTTATCACAAGAGAACTGACCTAGTTTGCAGTGTCCGAAAAGGGTTGGAAGGTAGCAAGCAGAGAAAGGGAGTGATTTTAAGGCCAACAGGAATTAAATTCCCAAAATAAGCTGCATGTTTTATTAAAATCTACTTATGCAATGAACTTCAGCAATCTCCTTACCTCTGGTAGAAATTTGTGTCGCTGTATAACCTGGTACAACATTTCATGAGTTTCTATTGCAGGTTGCAAGTCCCCTTTTAGTACCTAAGGACAAAAAATATTCTGGAAATTTGTGCTAATCGTGTCATAGTTGGATGAATTTATCTAAAGGCATAATCAGACAAAATGGAAATGTTTTCTTCAAGCTGTTTGTTTCCGTTTAGAAATTCTTCACCTATGATTAAGATAATCCTAAAACAAAATAATAATCCACACCATAATTTCAAGTCTGTTGTATTTTGTTTGAATAAAATCAAAATGAAGCATGAAACAGGAATTGGATATAAAACACATCACAAAAGGATAAGGTTGTTGGCTTACTTGCCGAGCTGACTGGTTATCGTACACATGTTTCGTTACTGTGCTAGGTGACATCATCAGTGAGGCTTCCGATGAAGCAATGTTGTTCTACTCCGCTTGGTATCTGGTCTGTTAAGTACCAGCAAGCAAGCCAATAACCTCATCCACAACCTGGGCTACAAATCTTCGCAAGAACCTTAAACCACAATCAGGAGTTTCAGGTTTCTTCCTACAAGCACCACAAGTCCTTTATTTGTTGTGATTTGTACAAATAGAACTTCAGGTTTCTTTTCAACACTGAACAGTTCAAACGGCCTTCATGTTCTGTTACACAATTTCTGAGCATATTCAGAAATGGAGAGAAAGGAAAAAAAAAAGTGCAAAGTGAGCTAAAATGTCTGAAAATAAGTGGTGCGTGTGGATCATCCATTAATATTATCACTGTAGAAAAGGACAACGTATGTAATCCAAAACAAAAATTAACAATGATCTAAAATCTGAAAAAGGCCAACTAATCGGATAACCATACATGTGATGAAAAATATGTACAAGTACATTCCTTACTCTAATTAATCTTTATCCCCAACTACTTGCAGTTGTGAATAATTCCATGTTTAACAATTTCTAAATCAGGGTGTAGAGCAATACTTCTTGCATTGCTCTGGAAAACAGACAGCACAGACTTGGGCCCAAATCATTTTGGAATTCCGTGGAAAGTTTTAACTTCTGGTGACAATTCCATTGCTTCCTGAGACCCCCACCACCATCGCACACAAGTCTTTGACTCCCCTTGGAGACTATATTTCCACAATACTTGCCTGAATAGTTATGCAGGAATCATTAGACAGCAAAGAGCTTAGACTAATACATGGCAAAGTACAGAACTGACCATACAAGTTATTTGCACTGACCCCTGATTCCACATGTCTATCCATATACCCTGATCACTCCCTAAAACTGCATCCACCTAGTAAGCTATCCACCTGATACCCCACCCACCTGCATCCGCACCCTACCACTTTTTAATATGGCTTACTCCATAAAGAGAGAAGTTCATTCTTGGCTCTCCAGCATTGTCATGGAGGTATCAAACGAAAGTTCTTTCTGAATTTCTGGGGAAGCCAGGTTTGGAGGACCCCAGAAGAAATGTAAGCAGTGGTGAATGGCAATCTGAAGATAATTGCCACTCCATGGAGAATGTGGGCCATGATAATCTGAATGACCTTCTGCACTCTACACCTAATGATACTGTAATGTAACTCAGCTTTAGGATCAACTTTCAGGTCAGTCTGAGGTGTCAATCATAATCTAGTAAAATGATAAAGCTGTTCTAAATGACAAGAGCAGCTCCATTTTGTATTCAAGAAAGTGAGTATGGATTAAAACGGATGGAAGGTCTTCATCAAACTGACTTCAGAAGACCAAAGCCTTCTTCATTTTTTTAGTCCCGTGAAGGCTGGTCTAAAAATGTTCATATGCATTAAATCCTATAAATTGGAACCATCAACAAACTGAGATTTTGATTAAAGCAAATGTACAATATCTATGATATACTGAATTTTTACAGTGACACGTCCATTCTAACAGATGCCCATTCAGTTGTGGGACTGACTCTCACTTTAGCATATATGTTTGGAAATGAAAAGTAGCATAACATTGAAATATTTTCAATGTACTGATAATCCTAAAGTGAAACACAGTTCCATGACTGAATGGGTGTTTACGTAAGTTGAGACTGAATACATTGGTCACAGGGTTAACATTTTATGCCATGTCCTACACACGCTTGGTCTAAGTGTGTAAATTTTTTACATATTGGTTTTCATCAAGCCATAATTAATTTTTAATATTAATTACATGCATGCTAATTATCTCAAATCAAAACAAAAATGCATCCCCTACCTGCAAGCCTGGGAAAAATGCAAGAAGTGAATCCATCCATTTTCTGGCATTAATAGTAGGGTTATGCATATGAACATCGAGAAGCAGGGGAGGCTGACTAATGTACTTCATTATGGCTGCATAGTGCTAGATTAAAAGAAATAAAAGTTGAAATGGACATTTTATGATAATCTCATTTATTTGTCTCACTCACGGAAACAGAGCAAAATCAAAGATTGTTTAAAACAATGTATTCGCATCAACATCTAATATTTAAACACACTTGAGTCTAGCTCATACTGACTCAAATTTGAGACACAGAATGTGTTTATAATTTGGTGCTGCTCAGGTCTTCAGATAACATTCTCCCCCAACCCTCTCCACCCCTATTCACACAACATAGCAGTTTTCTAGTGCTCTACTATGCATCCCTCCATATTTATATCTGACATTGTTCCACGAGGTGCAAACAGATGACAGAGGGACTCTGCTGAACAAATGTCTTTCATATTAAAGTTTTTTTTCCTAGAATTCTCGGAAACTAACTAATCTAAATACTTTCTAGGAATTCAAACTAACCTCCCTCTTTCAGGGTTTTTAAATAGAATTTCATTAAACAATGACGCAGATTCAAAGTTCATCTTTTAATTTTAACAGAACCATTATTTTAATATATCAGATAGGAGCTAAAAGCACTTCCTGGATTTTATACTTCTCAAATTAAAAGTCACATACAAACTAAACCAACTATTCAGCATTGTTTTAGTCTGAATTATCTCTCTGTCCAAAAAATAAGTCAGTTGAAAGTATAAAATAATAGTACATTAAATGAGTAAGTGCAAAATAAATTGTAAGAGTTAGCATCAAAAAATAAATGCAGAGTCTGAATAGAAATTACAGCATACATTTTAACATTAATTCCATTAGGATTACCATTATTTTTAAATGGTAAATAAATCTATTAGTGCCGATTGCACCACATAAAAGAATATTCAATAAGAGAATGTTGTTCCAGGGCTACAGTTTTCTAGGCACAAGCTGTCTCAGTTGATATTTTAAAAACTTAGGTCTACACTACCCAATGCAATGACCTGGTACAATTGTCAGATTAATGAATGTAGCCAAAGGATTAAAATCAAGCAGACAGGTTTCCATCAATCAAGCAAAGATACCTGAATTTTTCCCATCATAAGAGAAGGAAAGACACCGGGAAAACATCTGTCAAATTAAATACCAATTGTTCACTTAATTACTTTAAATATTTATTAGTGCTTTATTGCATCAGGAACGTATTTAAGGGGAAGCTCCCTAAGTGCATGGCAGAGAAAGAAAGACAATGTTGATCGGATGGGATGAAGTCAAATATAAAAAAAAACAGTACAAGTCATGACCATAGAACATCTCAGCCCTACTCTGCTATTTCTGGAGTCACCCAAGGATCTATTTTTGACTCCTTTATCCAACTTGACGGGTTTTTTTTTAATGCAGATGTGGATGTCGCTGGCTAGGCCCGCATTTATTGCCCATCCCTAATTTGCCTAGAGTTAAGAATTAACCACTTATAGGATAAGGATGGACAATAATGCCATTCCCTAAAACAGCATAAATGAACCAGATAGGTTTTTCTGACGATCGACAATGATCATCACTAGACACTTAATTACATACTGTATTAAACTCATGTTCCATCATCTGCCATGGCAGGATTTGAACCAGGGTCCCCAGAACATTATCTGGGTCTGTGGATTAACAGCCTAGTGTTATCTGCAGTTGGGACATAGCATATCTACATTACCAACATTCAGCTCTGTTTCTGTACTGCCACTCTTGACCCTTTCACGGTCCCTGTGCAGTCATCATCTCAGGCTGAACTAAACCATTCATGACCTTGTTGTCCTGGTTAGCGGTGCTCGCACCTCTGAGTTTGAAGGCTGTAGTTTTAAATCTTACCAAAGACTTGAACACAAGACAAAAGCTGATATTTAAGTGCAGTACCAAAAGAGCACTGTGGAGATGTTGTCTTTCAAAGGAGATATGAAACTTCAGCAGCATCTGGTCATACAGATGTATACAAATGATCTCATAAAACTGTTTTGAAGAACAGCAATTGAGTAATCCCCCTGGGTATACTGGTTAGAACGAGTGCACAAAGAGTGAGGGAACGATCAAATAGAGAAAAGCCTACCTTGTCTTGTCCTCACTAGTCTACCTATTGAAGGTGCATCTGTTCATGATGGTATTAGGGATCAGCCCTTGTGTGAAACAAAGTCCAGTCTCACATTCTGGATACCTGCCATTGAGTTATGTGGCACTATTACTGTGCTAAGTGGGATAGATTTCAAACAGATTTAACAACTTCAAACTGGACATTCATGAGGCGCTGTGAGACATCAGCAGAAAAATTATATTCAACCTCATTGCTGACATATCGATTAAATGAAGGAAATACAGTAAAGCTACAACACAGAACTACTTGCATGGGAACAGTGGAAGCCATGCAATAAGCAGGGATCAGAGATCTCACAACCAATGGATCAATTGAAACCTTTGTGAATAGGTGAAAACTATTCACTCGGTTGCGAAAAGTGATGAATAATTAAACAGGAAGAAGCATTTCCACAAACAACTCTCATCAGTAATGGTGTGGGAACCTACCACAGAACAATGCAACAGAGGAGCCTGAAGTATTCGCAACCGTCATCGGCTAGAAAGATTAAGCAGTTGATCCATCTCAGCCTCCTCATGATGTCCTCTGCACTATAATTGCCAGTTAATTTCGCTCACTCAACAGAACATCAAGAAGTAGCTGAAGGCACTGGATGTTGAAAAGGGTACAGGCCCTGACAACATTCCAGCAATAGTATATAGAAAACAGAACAGTACAGCAGAGTACAGACCCTTCAGCCCACGATGCTGTGCCAACCTATTATCCTAATCTAAGATCAAAAACTAACCTGCATACCCTTCGTTTTACTATCATCCATGTGCCTCTCCAAGAGTCACTTAAATGTCTCTACTGGCTCTACTACCACCACTGGCAGTGCATTCCATGCACCCACCACTGTGTGAAGAACCTACCTCTGACATCTCCCCTATACCTTCTTCCAATCACCTTAAAATAAAGCCACCTCGTAATTGTCATTTCCGCCCTGGGAAAAAGTCTCTGGCTATCCACTATCTATGCCTCTCATCATCTTGTACTATCAAGCTCTATCAAGGCACCTCTCATCCTTCTACACTCCAACAAGCAAAGCCCTAGCTCCCTTAACCGTTCCTCATAAGACCTGTCCTCTATTCCAGGCAGCATCCTGGTAAATCTCCTCTGCACCCTCTCTAAAGCTTCCAGATCCTTCCTATAATGAGGCAACTGATGACATATGCTCTAGAATTAGCCACACAATTTAGCCAAGTTGTTCCAGTACAGCTAATACACTGGCAATTATCCAGCAATGTGGAAAACTGTCCAGGTACATCTGTCCACAAAAAGCAGGGCAAATTCAAATTGGCTTTTCACTGCGCAATCAATCAACCTACTCTCAGTCCATAACAAAGTGATCGAAGGGGTTGTCAACAGTGCTGGCAGGCAACACTTAGAAATAACTTGCACAGTGATGCTCAGTTTGGACTCCATCAGGATTACTCAGCCCCTGGTATTGTTACAGCTTTAAACCAATATTGACTTGAAATGAGGCAACAGTGACTAACCTGACATCAAGGGTGCCTTTGACTGATTATTGTGTGAAGGAGTTCTAGTAAACTGGAGTCAATAGGAATCAGAGGAAAATTCTCCACTGGTTGGAGTCATACCCAACATAAATAAGGTGGTGGTGGCTGTTGGAGGTCAATCATCTCAGTCTAAGGACATTGTTGCAGGAGTTCTTAGTGTAGATATTTGTAAAATCAACCTGTTCAGAGATGTTATTACACATCTGGAGTACATAGGTCTTGAACTCAGGGCTCCTGGCTTAGAGGTAGGGACCACACAAATACCAGACAATGACTTTTTCCAATAAGACAGAATCTAACCATTGCATACGACTTCAATGGCATTACCACTGCTGAAATCTCAACTATCAACAGCCTGAGGGTAACTGAGGGTTTCTGTTGACCAGAAACTGAACTGGATTAACCATACAAAACTCTAGAAAAGCAGGTCAGAAGTTAGGAATTCTGGAGCAAGCAATTCTTGTACTGTCTCCCCAGTGACAGTTTACTATCTACAAGGCACAAGTAGGTCCAAGAATCTTGTCACCATCCAAGGCACCAGCTTCAACACTGGTACACTATGATGACACTTTGTACCATATTTAAGATGCACTGTGGTAGTGGACTAAGCTCCTTCATTAGTACTTTCCAAACCTGACACCTCCACCCTCTAAAAGAACAAGGGCAGCAGATAAACAGGAACAGCACCACCTCTACCAGTTCACCTCCAAGTCTCACTGCATTATGATTTAGAACTATATCAATTCCTTCACTGCTACGGGTTGAAAATCCTGGAACTCCTTCTTAAAACATAGTAGTATCCATAAACCCCAAAACCACAGCAGTTCAGGAAGGCAGCACACTACCACCTCCTCCAGGGGAATTAGGGAATGGAAATAAATGCTGACCTAGCCAATAATGCTCACAGATATGAATAAAATTAAAAATTAGAATTGTGCAACAAATGCTGTCTTTGCCAGCAGTGCCCAAATTCAATCAATTAACTGGAAAAAAAAACCTATCTTTTAACTAACAACACTAAAACAGATTAACTGGTAATTATCAGTGCTGATTGGAGGAACTTACTGAGCACAAATTAACTTCTACATTTCCTACACCATAACAGTAACTATGCTTCCAAACTACTTCACTGGCTCCAAAACACTCTGAGGTACCTGTGGCAATGAAATGCAGGATGTAGATGCAAGTCTTTCTTTTATTACATATTTGTGATGCAAATTAATTGACATTTAGGTTGACAACTTGTAACATTTCATACATTCAAATTTTTCTTATTGTCTGGGAAGTAAAGGATGCTTTAATTTTATTAATTCTTTCAAAAAGTTTGCTTTTTACTTAGATTAGTTTGCTCCTCAGAGTGACAGCCACTTTATCACTGTCTGAAGGTGTCGACGTGTTTGGATTTTAATTGCGTACGTTTCCGAACACCATTGCATTAACTAATGCTTTTGTTTCATAGTACATTTTGGAGGTAGTTCATATTATCAAATGGCACCTGGTTTCATTTAGTTAATGTGTTTAGGGAACCCAAGGTCCTCTTCTTTTACCCAATTAGTATAATGGAAAAACCACTCTGGATTACATTGAAGTCATTTTGTAAAAAAAACATTAATTTCATTAAAACATCACTGGGCTGTCCTGTTACATTTATTAGCTACTATTTTTCCTTAAAAATCTGGAGATGCCACTTGGACCAACTACCAATTCCATTAATGAAGAACAAGTTTTGGCAGAAGTACAACTTTACTTGCAATAATAAATTTGCAATAAGTCTATTCTATTTAATGGCCACTCCAAATTGACAATTCATTAAATAACTTTGGGAACATCCTACAAATTATTAATTGCAATAATGGTTTGTTCCAGTATATTGCATTATTACCATTGCTGCTTGAAGGCTGAATATTCATTAGCATACATTCTCTATGTACAGTACAACATGATGCTTTGGACATAATGTTAATTAGTGAGATCAGAATTGACTATCTTTGTTGGTGGGTCACCTTCCTACTTGTTATGTGATTTGCATATAGTAAGTATTTTGTGCAAGTGCCATACTTACATTCTGCAACACTTACCATTATATACTTCCAACTCACTCAACAGTGCCAAGGGAGCTTTGCTACATTGTAACATTTTCCAATCCCTTTTGGGTCCCCATGTAACACACATTATTCCTTAGCCAGAGGAGAGACAAAATGATCCACTCGAAGGCCTTCAGTCAATGCCTTACAGTTACCAGTGTTCCAATTATCTGGGCAGTGTGCAGTGTCTGGCCTCTGCTCTTAGTCAGCAAAAATCCAGTTGATTTGGGGTCAGCACAGGAGCCCAAGTCTTATATCTGACGCATCACATGCTACACTAACTCTCCATGTCTGTCGGCCACACAGTAACAGATTTTTCCTTTAGCATTTCAAGATCTTAGGACTGAATACCTTTAAAAAGAAAAAGAATACAAGACTTACTGTATTAAATCTCTCCAAATATACATCATCTCCCAGCAGGATATAGGCCTTCAACAAATATTCGTAGTATGAGTCTATTCCAGCACCCACTCCACTGTCTTAGAATACAATGAATCAGTTAGTAGGATCTCAAAAACTGATAGGAAATATATCATGAATTTGTATCATTGATTGTTAAGTACGTCAGTAATACAAAAGACGTGACTACAACAGTAACAAAAGGAGCTGTGCATGTAAGTACATGCTAATTTACAACACTGGAAAACATGTGGTTTCTCCTACACAAACATATTGGAAAGCAGGTTTATAAAGTGACAGCTCTGAAAAGAATTTCCCAGAGAGACAGTTTGTATATCACTTGGAAGTGAGACTGTGAAGTTATACTTAGTATTTCTAGCGCACACATGAACAGGAGAATTAGCAGAATTAGGCCATTCAGCCCTTCAAGCTTGCTCCACCATTCAATAAGATTATGGCTGATCTGTTGTTTTCAATTTCACATTTCCATCCACTCCCAATAATTTTTGATTCACCCAACAAAAATCTATCTTCTTCTGCTTTTATATCAGAATCTTCAGCATTTTGTTTTTGGTAAAGTTATACTTCTATTTTCCCACCAAAACAAAAGTGATAGTACAACTGCAGATTATCTAATGTCAATTAAGCAAACACAAGGCAAATAGACCTACACTATTTTCTTGCTAACCAGTTTACTGAGAGACAAAACTTTCGTCTTCTAATAGGTTATGTGATAACCTCTCAGCAAACTGTTGTGCACCTTTGGCGGTTTACTTAGCAAATGTCATGTTGACACTGTCATCGATTGAGAGACCAACAAAGTAATTGTTTTTTGGTTGAATAATTGGAGAACACAAGAATAAGGAGAAATGACAGGCCATTTGGCCTTTCAATCCTGCTTTACCATTCAATGAAACCATGGCTGATCTGATTGTTGCCTTAACTCTTATTTTCCTGCCTGCCCCCAAAACTCTCATTTCCCTTGGCAAAATCAACAATTTGTCAAACAGCCTTGATTCAACAGCCAAGCTCACTGTTCAATGGGGAAGATAATTCCAAAGACCAACGATGCTTGTAAGAAGAAATTTCTCCCCACCTCCGCCTTAAATGAAAGATCCCTTATTTTTAAACTGTGCCCCCAGTTCCAGATTCAGGACAGGAAATATTGTGGCAGAATCTCAGCAGGGCAGGATGTTGGCTCAGTGGTTAGCACTGCCCAGGGACACGGGTTTTTTCCAGCCTTGGGCGACTGTGTGGAGTTGGCACATTCCACCCTCACTTCTGCGTGGGTTTCCTCTGGGTGCCCCAGTTTCCTCTCTCAGTCCAAAGATGTGCAGGTTACGTGGATTGGCCATGCTAAATTGCCCCATAGTGTCCACGGACATGGAGGCTAGGTGGATTAATTTCCCCTTGTTGCCATATGCCAACTACTGCTGACTCATGCCAACCATGCCTCCTAACACCCTTGTTTGCCCTTACACCTTCCATGCAAATGCACCCAGTATCCACGCTGGTGGACTTCAAGGCCAATTCTGTGATAAAATAACTTCTAATTGTCTATTAACAAATTCAGTGTTTAAAACAAAATATTTATGGGTAAAATCTGTCCACGACATTGAACTTCTTTCAACTGTTTGATTACTTATAAAATTAGGTATTTGCAATTGCACAGGCATTTCAAAGACTCTAAACACTTGCAAGTGTCAAACTGTTAACTGACAGGCATTGCACAGTGACACAAGGGATTACAAAATTAGTCATGCAACATAAATGGTATAATGATAGTTTTCAGGCTAATGAAGACAGAAATAGCAAGCATTAAATCTATTTTTCTCTTTACTGTGCAGTTTATTTTTGACTATTTAAAAAGCTAGGAGATTTAAATGTCTTGACAGCTTGACTGTTTGAATGAGCTTATCCATTTTTTAAAAATACACATTTTAACAATCCCAAAGGATATTTGACCACTTACAAAAGGCATCTCATGTGCCTCTAGTGTGTTGCAAAAAGTTGTCCTACTTCTCCAAAGGCTACCCTATCTCTCTGAAGAACTCTGGTCATCTTGGACATTCTCCTGAAACTGGACCTGACTGAAGGCAGCTGTACTTATACATGCAACTGCCTCTGTGAACCAAGGATGTGTAGAATACAAGCCAGACTCATCTCCCCTCAGTAAAAATATCATGACCTGACGCAACTGTCCATCACCCTTCTCACCTATCTGCTCCACCCTTCCCATGACCCTTCTCCACAACCCCCTATCTGAATCCATCTATCACCAACCCACTGACCTTCCCCCAGCCTCACCCCCCTCCCTCTATTTATTTCCAAGCTCCCTTCTCCCTCCCCAATCCTGATGAAGGGTCTCAACCCAAAACATCGACTCTCCTGCTCCTTTGATGCTGCCTGACCTGCTGTGTTCCTACAGCTCCACACTGTATTACATGTTTTCTTTTAATATGATACTATCCTTAGGTTCTTTGCTTAGTCATGGGTTGTGTGTTATTCCGGTAGAGTATTCTTCTATTAAATATATTCATAACAATAAACAGAATATATCTCTTCAAATCTTTGGCACTGCTTCTCTGAGCCTTTAACCTTTTTAACCTATTTACCCAGTCCAGTTTAACCAACCTTGCAACTGTCATTTTTAAGTTTAAAACATACTTACAGACCCACATTTTCTCATTGCTAAAGGGAATGTGAAATCCTATCATGTTATGATCATTCTTACCTAGAGAACCCTTTATTATACAGGTCTTTAATTTATCCTGTACTTCTACACATTACCAGTGATGTCCAACTAAAATAAAGCAATTAACTACAGTACATTTCTTTCATATTTAAAGCCAGTATTAAAGCCAGGGAAGAAATTAAACGGATAAGAGGCTGCAGAATTTATTACAGCAGGTCCAGATATTCTTGGTTGGTGTCTACTGACATTGGAGGTAAATGTTGAAGACCTAGGGACAGGTTGGAGAACGGATTAAAAAGAGATATGATATCTGAGAAGTACAATGAGTTATGAAAGGTGTATGGGTTTGAGTGTTTCCGTGCTGCAAGTATGCACTTCACATTTCCACGAGGTTTACATAAAGCTAAAGAATTTAAGTGCAATTTGCATTGTGAATTTTGACACACATTAGATAAAAGGTGCTATACTCACCCCGCCTGATCCAGTCACCATTGTGAATGTTGATCACTGTCCCCACGAGATCACTGCCTCTCTGTCTTTTCTCCCATAGGAAATCCATTGCTCTCCGTGCATATTCCTACAGGATAAAAAATTATTTGCCATGTATCATGAAACAGAAAATAAATCTTAAATTGCATAACTAGCTCCTGTAAAAATCCAACTTTTTCAAAAAGCAAAGTACCAAATGCATGAGACAACATACATATTAGGCAATTTGTTATTTAAATGGGTTAAAGGCAAAATATTGGCTTAATACAGGTTTACCAATTAATTCATCTAAAATTTCCTATTCTGCCCTATTTGACTACACAACTAGATGTACTGAACAGAGAGAAGGGTATAATGAGAAGGTATCACCATAATTTGAACTGGATATTCTGCTGGGGGCACAACATAATTTGACATCCAAACAAAGCAGCATCTTCACTTTGGACTTCTGAACTCTGTTCTCCCTTAAGCACCTAAATAATTGCTGGACAGAGCAAAGGCTTCCTGTCCAATTATGGATAGGAAAATTCTCTAAGTTGGAGGGACAATCAGAAGTATTCCAGTCTGAAAGCAGCAGCAGGCTTCAAAATTGAGGTAATCTTCCTTCAGCCTTTTCAATACTTTAGACAACAAAAGTGGTTTTTATTGCAAGGCCGCTGTGCAGCAGACCTCCCCTAAAGTCTGTAGCTATATCCAGGCAGGAAGGGAGGCTCCCCACACTAATATCAGGAGGCCATCTCCAGGCAGCTAAACCGTCCCCAGCTTCCTGCAGACGGCTGGAGGCATTAGGCTGTCAATTTAATAGGTACCAGCCCCAGCCAAATCCACTCCCACTCCAGGAATATAGCCAAGGTTAGGATGGAAATTGTTCCCACGTATCTGTTGACTTTGTCCTTTTACATGGAAGTGGTCGTGAGTTTGGAAGGTACTGTCCAAGGATTTTGGGTGTTGTCCGCAGTGCATTTTGGAGGTAGTATACACTGCTGCTACTGAACAGCAATAGTGGAGGAGTGGATGTTTGTGGATGTGGTGCCAATTAAGTGGGCTTTCTCCTGGACGATGGTGAACTTCTTGAGTTTTGTTGGAGCTGTATCCATTCAGGCAAGTGGGGAGTATACCATCACACTCCTGACTTGTTCCTTATAGCTAGATCCTAGCCTCTAGCTACAAGAGCAGGCCACTATATGTAAATTGCGATTCCAGTTCAGTTTCTGGTCCATGGTAAAGATATTGATGTTAGGGAATTCAGCGACAGTAATGCCATTGAATGCCAAGTGGTAGTGGTTAGATTGTTTCTTAGTGGAGATGGTCATTGCCTGGCATTTGTGTGGCGCGAACATCATTTGCGACTTGTCACCCCAAGTCTGCATATTGTCCAGATCTTGTTGCATTTGAACATGGACTATTTCACTATCTGAGGAGTCATGAATGGTACTGAATACTACACAATCATTGGTGAACATTGCCACTTCTGAACATATGATATAGGGGAGGTCATTGATGAAACAGCTGAAGATGCAAAAAGACGAGTCTCAAGTATACGTACCCCATCAGCCACCTATAACATTGACTTCCCCGTTTATCAAAACTACCAAAATCTGCAATGAATAATGCAGTCTTCATTGCTTTTTGGGGAAAAGAATTTCACATTGTAACAACCCACACGGGGAAAAAAAAAATCTCTATCTTAAAAAAGGAGACCTTTTTCTCCCCCTAGTTCTAATATCCCTCACAAGAGGAAACATCTGTCACTACCTACACTATCAAGTCTTCTCAGGTTCTTATGTGTTTCAATAAAGTCAGCTTTCATTCTTCCAAACTCTAATGGGTATAAACCTAAAGCTTTCATCCCAGGAATGAATCAAATTAACCTTCTCTGAATTGTTTCCAATACAAATTATATATTTTTTTCAAATAACAAAACCAAACTGTATTCAGTACTCAAGGCGAGTCTCAGCAAGGCTCAAAATAATTTATTTTAGGAGCTCCCCAAAAAATCTTTGAGGGCTTAATTTTGATTTTCACTGGTTATCTTTTGATTTCCAGGGGCTCCTTTTCTCAGTCTCAAACTCCTTCATTAGGTGATATAGTCACTTAGTTCTTACCTTTTAAAAAAATTCAGAGTCCTTCTGGAATAAAGATTCAATCCATCACTTGCCATAAAGCAGAATACCATAGGCCTCGGTGGTGTTAATTGAAAGATATTTATAATGTTGAGTTTATGACAGGTAGGGTACGCATTAAAGGGCATTAGCTTTTTTTTTTTACGGTATTGGCAGAGTCTAGAATTGAAGCAACATTTCTTGATTCAGTTCAGGAAACTCCAGGCTTGAATTCTGAGGCGTATTTAATTTCTCTCCTTGGAGGAGATCAAGATGGTTCAGGGAACCAGTTACTTCAGCTGAAGGGTTCTATTTTTGAAACTTCCAAACCAGCATTGGTTAAAAATCTGCAGGTTATTAGAACTGAAAAATGTTTACAATCCCAATTTGAGAAGAGTCCCTGTCAACAGACTTGGAAAGTACTCAACAAATTGTCTCCATAGTCCATGGGAAAGAACCTGAAGGACTTAGTAGAATTCTAAAGAGTTAAGATCGGGGTGTAATGTTTTCTGGACTTGAGTCAGGAGGTAGGCTGAAACTTTGAATTGGTGTATTGC